TCACAAATTTTGTTTCAGTTTTTTATTCTGACTACTAGAAACTTTAGTAGGCAATTGCCTAGGTTGTTTTGTATCTAGACGAGTATTAAACTGCTGGGAGAAAAGCAGCCAGTAGCGGGCAAACATTCTGGGCCTGGTTAATGCCAAATTTGTGCTAACTGTATCAGTGTGCCAGCATAATTGCCCATTCTGTTTTTTTTCCTAAGGTGTGGGCTGTTGAGCTGCACTTGTCCCACAGGCACATTGCATGCCACTAGGTAGTGGAGGAGGGGTGTAGATTGCCCAGGGAAGGGGGTCTGAGAATGTGTTTAGAGTAGGAGCTGCTGAGGACATTTTTGATGGGCGGAGTGATTTCTTGGGGGGCCTCCACAGTTTAGGCCACTGCACTTAAAGGCAGGCAAATAAACTTAGACTGGGTGGTTTGGAGCAGGGAATCAGAGGGCATATTTGGGTCAGGCTAAGGCGCCCCAACCATGATGTCAACACACTGCAAAGTACTGGAATTGGGTGCCAGTCATGTCAGGCTGGACCACAGTACACCCTAGAAAACCACTCTAGGTTGGACCACAACATAAGTTCACATGAGGGTCAGGGCTGGGCATGATGGGCTGGGCCGTACTAGGCTGCTCATCCACTGGTGAGAGCTGAGACTGGAGGTGGGCCAAGATGAGCCAGGTTGCACCAACCTGCTGGTGAATGTTAAGATAGGAACAGGCCATGCTAGACAGCCACAGCACCCACTGGCATGCACAAGACCCTGGTCTGGGAATAGGGTCTGTAGGGGAACTTCAGAAGCTCTCCTGGTAGGCCACTGTTTCCACTGGTGAGCATGAGGGCTGCAACTACAGGTGTGCCAAGCTGTTCCCTGGCACACTGAGGAGCCAGAATGGTTACAGGCTGCATGGTTACAGGCTGCATGGGATAGATGTCATCACCCACCGGCAAAGTGCTGGAATTGGATACCAGTCATGTCAGGCTGCACCACAGTACACCCTAGAAAGCATAGGATCTGCACCTGGGAATAGATCTGGTAGGGGAACTGTGAGCACTCCCACGCTAGGCTGTACCTCCTGCTGGTGAGTACGAGAGCAAGGGTTGGGGGCAGGCCAGGCTGGAGCAGGCAGGCAGCACCCAGTGTATATGTGTGGGCCAGGTTTGGAGTGGGTCGAGCTAAACTAAACCACAGCACCCATGGGTGTGCACAAGAGGCAGGTGGTATGTGGGATATACTGGGTAAGCCAGTATACACTGGCAAACTGGGCCTGATGGGAGTCATTGGGAGTCGCCTCAACTAGGCTGCAACACCCACTGTTGTGGTTGAGGACTGGTCCTGTGGCAAGCTGGGCTGGGAAATTTCCTCAGCACCCATGGGTCACTTCATGTGAAATATTTGAGAACCACTGGTTTAGAGCAATAGGGAAGAGGCTGTTAGACAATCACCTAAGGTGAGGTAAGGCCAGAGTCAAAATTAACTGACTTATGCTTGTTGCAGGTAAACTGAACAACACATTGACGGCTGGGCAGGAAGTAAGTTAGAATTCAAAGAGGGAAAAAGACTGGCTGATGGCAGCAGAAAATATCTAAGGGGGCTAAAGGCATTCATATGAGATATGCATGAAGATATGGTGTGAATAAAGGTGTACACTGGAAAGACAAACACAAGTAGGATGGTATTTATCTCTTAGGGAAAGAAAGGGGAAAGGAAAGATTAGGATTATATCAAGGGCTACATCTTGGACATTAAGTACTAGTATTGTTACATGTTAAATTGGTGGATAAATAGATGTTTATAGTTGCATTTTTGTACAATGATGTGTAATTCTTAAATATTCCCAAAGGGAGAGGAGGGAAGACAACAGCCATTTCCAAGCCACTGAGGCAGAATCTAAAGAAGTCGATAAATTCTAAAACTCAACCTGACCTTTCAGGCCATTATGAAGATATCTTTGTCATGGAAGGAGATAAAACATGTTAAAATAGTTGGTTTAAACATTTTAGATATTTAGATATTGAAGTTTATGGATTTTGATGGAGCAAGGACACAATCCTCAGCCTGCTTCCAGGACAGTAAATAGACAATCCAGGGTCGGTATACTGGTATAACAGACTAATCCTCTATCTGTGGTACTGGCATCACATATGAGAGCCTGTTCAAATGGTGACTGTTCCACTTCCAATCCAACTCCCTGCTTGTGGACTGGCAGCAGAGGGTAGCTCAAGGCCTTGGACCCCAGGACTCACATGGGAGATCAGGAAGAAGTGCTTGGATCCTGGCTTTAGTGTAGCTCAGCTCTGAACATTGGAGCTATTTGAGAAGTGAACCAGTCATCAGATGGAAAATCTCTCTCTTTCTCTCTCTGTCTGCATAACTCTTACAAGTAAAAATAACAATCTTTTTATAAAAGATTTATTGGAAGATAAAAGATTTTATTGGAAGGATAAATATTGAAAAGAAAAAAAAGATTTCACTGGAAAGGTAAATCCATAGAGAGAAGGAAAAACAGAAAGATCTTCCATCTGCTGGTTCATCCCCCAAGTGGTCCCAACAGCCAGAGCCGAGCTGATCCAAAGCCAGGATCCAGGAGCTGCTTCCAGGTCTTCCACGTGGGTGTTGTCTAGATGCCAGCAGTTGGCTATCCTCTGCAGATTTATTTCTCTAATCAATTTGATTTGGGTTGTGAATTCTTACCCTGTCTCATTCTCTTTTTCTGTGTCTCTTTCCTAGCAGATTCCCAATCAAATTCTTGGTCTAAACTCTGAAAATGCTACAAGCAGACTATGCTAAATAAACCCCTTTCCCTTCCTCATTCTATGCCACTGTCACCTAAGCATGTGGGAGTCCAAGTTTCTGAAAAGGGCTTATTCCAGTAACCCATCTTGTTATAGGACTTGGATTTAGTCTCTGAACCAAGCTAGAGTAGAACCACCTCTTCCTTCTGCTCACCCCTAACTGCACCCCTCTCCCACCAGTCTCATTTTACTTTCCAGGTGTTCATACACATATCCTGTTCAGTAGCACCAAGCCTACCTGGAGGTTGTCAGGTTTGTCAGACTCACCTGTGTGCAGGCCCCTCCTGTGCAGCAAATCTCCAAGAGTATTCTGCTTCTCTGACCACCTTCAGGTCTGAGTTGTCAATACCATATTTTGATTTCACTCCCCCATGAAACAGACAGACTGAGATGATTTAAATACGCTTTAATGAGTTTGTTTTGCATATATGAAAAACCAAGAAAACTAAAATTAAAAGCTAAAAACTTGACCAAATATGTCATTAGGCATTTTAAACTGAAAACCTCATCAAATAAAAGAATTTTGTTAATCATGGAAAATATATTGTTAATGCACAGTTATCACAGAAGATAAACTAACAGATACACTCTGAGAAAAAGGGGAAAAGTATAACTGGTAATCTACCAGGATTACCTGTATAAAGGCATCTAACTGGATGAATTGTTCACTACATAATACAAATGTAATAATATTCAATCTATCAAATCAAAACCCTAGCTTTATCAATAAGGCAAAAGCACAGTATCAGAAAAAAATAGATGGTTTATAAGAGAAAATGCAAAATCCAGCATGTTGATAATTGTGTACATTATACCAGCTATCTGCGAAACCCAGAATGAGGTGTTTAAATTGGCTCTGGCTCCTCAGTGCCTCTGTGGGCTTTTTGGCGTGGAGCAGGACTCTACTTCCTTAGAATGTAAAGACACGTCCAGGCTTGCCTGTCTGTTAGTGATAACTCTAATGAGAAGTCACTTTTGGGTCATCTAGGAAAATAAACCAGGCTTACTGGCAAGGCATCTAAGGGAAAAATCTCTCCATGTTTTGTGGGTTCGGAGATAGAATAAAAGAGAAGTAAAAGGAAGACTTAACTAACTTCTGATGAGCCTGGAGGAGGGTTTGGGGTGGCGTATGCCTCAGAAAGCAGCCAAATTCAGGGATTGATTCTGGGGATGAAGATGCTTACATCTTGATTCTTGTGCCTGGAAGTTTTCAGTGGAGGTGATGCTACCAAAGAAAAAGAATTCCTGGCAGAATGAAAAGGATAAATCGTATTTGCTAGGCTACTCAACCCCTATCCTCACAGCTGACCATTCCTATCACCCTGACTTTTCTTCCCCTGCTTTCCTTCTTCATGGTTGGACTGGGTGGGGGGGATCTCCAGCCTAGTAACTTTTGCAGTATGTGCCTCTAGGATCAAGGGCATCCAGAGATGGATTTTATCACTTATGGTTTCCAGTTAGCAAGAAGCTCATTTCTCTATGGCTTTTGGGATTGCAAACTTGCTTTGGGCCAAAAACGTGTGAGGCAGAAGCTGCTAGGGATAATGGATGAAAACCTGGGCTACAAAGTGAAGGTTCTCTAGAAGTGAGAGCCAGAGAAGGGAGCTCTCTCCCGTGGCCCCGGACTTGCATCAAGACAGTGAACGTGTTGTGTGCCTGATGGTAAGTGTGATTTTGATCTCTGTACAACATGGAATTTCAACAGGATCTTAAACACTTAAACAAAGCGTGTATGAAAGGAGGCACAATTTTATTTCTAAGCAAATGGAGAGGACTGTAGTTTTCCTGGGAAGAGAGGCCAAACATTGATAAACTAACCATCCAAAGGAGGGTGATCAACCTCAAGAAACATTGCACCTCTTCAATGGCACATGATATTGTCAGGCCTGCATCAGGTTAACATGTGGCATGTGCACAGGGCAAACTCTATATAGGTGATCTGTGTATTGCTATCCCCTACCATTTTTGGAGGACTCCAAGGACACAAAAGGTGTTTCATGGGGTATTGGACTGATTAGGAGACTGACTGTGCTAAATTATTCTTGGAGACCCAGATGTCTACTCACACTGTATCTTATAAGAGCCTTTATAAAGCTGAGTAAAGCAATCAAATAATTCAAGCACGTTCCCAGGCTCATAAATACTAAAGCCAGTTTTTTACCTAAATCACTTGTGTATTTTCATTAGCGTTACTTTATTTGGATGAGAAAAATGATAGCCTTTCAGTTGCCCCCAACCAAATGTTTTTGGTTTCTCTTTTAAAAGACACATTGTCTACAATTAAAACTTCCTTGATTCTATTCCAGTGTAAGCACCTCACAGTGTTTTTATAGAGGAAATGCCAGGTTTGCAGACATTCTGGTAAGTGTACTGAAGGCTAGGCGTTCACAGCACTCCTTTCAAATAAATCTGTTTTTAACTATCACTTCTAAGGCCTTTTGGTTGAATAAAAATGGTTGCAGTAAAGAAATCACTAATAGATTAATGCAGCTGCTGTCAACTAACATTTAAAATGTTGATACTTCACCTAGGACTTATTTCTTCACACGATCTCTTGCTTATGGCTCCATGCTTTGGCCTTCTCCTTGGCCATGGCGAACCATACAGGCTCAGTTGATTTGACCAGCTCAGCTGACTCAACTGGCTCAAATGGCTCAAATGGCTCAACTGGCTCAATTGATTGTTGGGACTTGACTGGGAGAGCTGAAGATCCTTTAGTTTCCTTTTCCTTGGCAGGAGAATGCATTATTGTTGGATCTTCACATGCAACTGAAATCATAGCAAGCAACACACAAACAGTAAGAAACCCCTGAGACACTGAGCATCTATAAGATGCAATAAGTGTTTCATCTTTGTAATTCCCCCTTACACTTGTTACTTTCCAGTTCCCTCTTTTGAGCTTCTAAAAATCATTGTCTGAGCCACACCACAGGTGATAGGTCAAAAGAGTAAAATCAACATGACCACAGGGATATGGACAGGGAATGACTTGAGAAGTAAAACCTTTATCTGTTACTCTCAATATTTGTTTGCATGATTATTGGATTGTCTTAAACTTTTAAGATAATATTTTTGCCTTACCAATTCATGGTGTCATGAGAAATGAAATGAATGATTAAAAACAACAATAAAAAACCAAGGTTGATGCTTAACAATACTGTATCAACAGCTCTGGGTAACCCCACTATGTTCCTATTCCTCAGCTGCTTGACAGCTGATTGGCTCAGGGGCTTAGACTCAACTAGCATTTGTCAGCCATGACTACACAACAGAATCACGCAGGGCTGTTTGTAAAGGACCAATGTCTATACCAACTCCTGACTAAATAAGAATTCGGTCTGGAAATCAAAGTTGTTAAGATGACTAAGAATTTCTTGATGAAGCCAAGGCCCTTAGTAATTTTTTAAAAGTTTACTTGATTATTCTAACACACAGTGAGAACTGACAGTCACTCTACAGGAGTGTAGCATCCATGTTGCCATTAATCACTATAACCAGGTCAACTGCTGGTCTGACAATGGGTTCTTAAATTCCTGGTCTAATTTATGCATGAGGGGAATTAAACCTCCCCCCCCTTGCCCGCAACTTACAGATTGAGATGACTTTCTCTGCATCCCTGTACCATGCCTTTCCAATGGTCAACATTTCCCCACCTTTCACATCCCTGCTCAGAATGCAGAGGAGCTGAAATAAAGTCTTCTAAATAGTTAAAGAATAATGCCACACCACTGAACCTTTATGGTGGATTATTTTCAACAGTGCCATTGGAGATGAGGAAGGCAAAGCTTTATTACAAATGTGAAAGTGGCTTGGTACTTTCTTCTTGAATCCCCAGCTATGAGAGCTGTCTGTGCCTAGACAGTTTCTTCAGTGCAGTAGGGAATAGAAGCATGTGCTTTTACCTGATTTAATTTGTTTCGTCTGTGCCATCTTCTGTGGATGGACATTGGAACTCAAAATGTTTCTTGATTGGCTTTCCATTTCAGGGCCAGCTCCCTTTAATCCAAGAAAATACAAACAGAAAAAAAAAAGTGTGTAAGTCCTGACATTAAAATAATTAAAGATTTATTCAGGAGATTATAGATGCAAGCCCTGTCCTAATAACTTTGAGTTCAATATTAATTAAAACACAACAAATAGATACACATATTGATACAGTTAGAGAAGGAAAGAGATATCACAGAGTTCCCTGGTTTGTAATTTATGTTCACACACGCTAAGCTGGTTCATGTGTACCACCTTACACAGATCTGAAAGAAAAGGGTGCCTTGCAAATAGTATGTACAGAGTAACATAAAAATTAGTTAACTTGCAAACTTGCAAACTTTCTTTTCCTTAGCACTTTCCCAATGCTTAACAGTAAGCTGACAGAATGCGGTGATTACAAACGAATGTGCTGAATGCAATGAAGTAAGTTCCATAGAATTTCTCTGAGTAAAATGTTCTGACATAACACTTGAAACAAGCTTTGTATTAAAAAGTAATGCAACTGTAGAACTTTTCAAAATTTTACATTTAGGCTTCTTACTTCCAAAATGCCCCCCAATAGCTGGGGCTGACCAAATTTGAGAGCCAGAATGTCTATCCTATTTTTCCCACATGGATTGCCAAGGCTCAAGCAATTGAGCCTTGTTGTGCTGTCTCCTAGGTACACGTTGTTAGGAAGCTGGGTCAGAAGTGGAGTAGCTGGAGCTTGAACCAAGTGCTCTAATGTGGGATGAAGACATCTTGAGCACTGGCTTAATGCCTCAAATAAACACCTGCCCCAGGTGCAAAATTATTGCATGGAAATTTCCAGAAATAAATGATTCATATGTTTTAAATCACATGCTCAATAGCGTGATGCACTCTCATGCCATCTATCTCTCTGTTGCTGGGAATATGAATCATCCTTTTGTCCAGAATATTTATGTCTTATACACTACTGGCCTGTTACTCATTTAATAGCTGACTTGATCATCAGGTCAACTGTTATAACATCATAGTGATCATGTCCAAGTCGCCCTTATTTTATCGAATAATGGTCCCAGAGCACAAAAGTAGTGATACTAGCAATTTGAATATGTTGAAAAGAAGCTGTAAATGCTTCCTTTAAGTGAAACGGTGAAAGCTTTTTATGTAAAATGAAAAGAAAAAAGTCACATGCTGAGGTTTCCATGATATATGGCAAGCAAATATTTTATATCCATTGAATTGTGAACAGGGTGGGGCCAGCACTGTGGTGTGGTGGGTTAAGCCACTGCCTGTAGTGCCATAAGGACACCAGTTGAGTCCTCGCTACTCACTTTGTGGGCAACCAAGAAGAAGCTCCCAGCTCCTGTCTCCATGCCAGGCCAGCCAGGTAGTTGCGGCCATATGGGGAGTGAACCTTGGATGGAAGATTCTCTCTCTCTCTCTCTCTAACTCTGCTTTTCAAATGAATAAAACTTTTAAAAATGTGAAGATGGAAAAATATATGAGTGCTACTTTAGCTATTTCACCTAGGATGCTAAAGTTATGGCCACAGAGCATAGTACATACTTAGTTAAGAGGCAAAAAGGCATTGAATGACAGGATTTGTACCATCTGGGATTTCGGGCATCCACTGGGGATCTTGGGATACATTCTCTGCAGAAATTTGAGACTATTATATTTATAGCTTGATTCCATTTATAAGCATACATATACATAGTTATGGGCATAAAATATCTATAAAAATAATTATTCGGTTCTTATCCCAGTGGCTACATTTGACATACATGGTACAACTTAATCCTTATCTCATAACTGATTTCATGGACCTCTGCTAGCATATTTAAAGTTTTGATTGACACACTCTCCTCATGTCAATAACTTCCCACAACCCTTGAAGAGCATCAACCGGGACACATTTTTATGAGTATAAAGTCCCCCCACCCCACTTCCAAAGAGTCCACATGGCTTAATATTCCCAAAGAGGGGTCAGAGGTATGTTGGACAAGTTCCCAATGGAAGCTTAGTTGGTGGTTCCAGAAACCTTTTGGAGTGTTTGCTGGGTGGCCCTGGGTCCTACCACATGACTAGGCTCCTTTGTTTCTGGCTCAGCCGCAGCTCCGATCTTGAATTTTGATTCCTTCATAGAGACAGAGTATGAGAAATCTCTCTGCTTCTGCTTTGCAACAGTTATCCAAGCTGGCTCGGAGACAGCATTATCTGCTTGCTGCCCAGGTGGCTTTCCTGGCAAAGGAATGGAAAGAGTTAGAAGTGGAATAAATCGGGCAGGATCTTAGCCTAGCTAGGTTTGCCCATAGTCACATGCCAAGTCAGATCCTTATTAGTTGCCAAATGAAAATAAACAGCTGTCAAGTAGAGAAACCCCTCCCCCACGTGAATTGACCCACAATCTAGCAAGGCAAGGGTTCTTGGGAAGGCTAAGAAGTTGAACTTCAAAATGAGCCTACTGCCCCTTAGCAAACCCTCCCTTTCCCTTGTCCATCTCACTTCCCATACCCAAATCAACATAGCAGCAGTGGTTGCCACTGGGGCTGAAGAAACTCCTCAGAAGCAAGAGGCTCTGGCCACGGGTGTCATTTGTTTGACTCCAAGGAAAATCTGGTATCTGTTACATAGTCATATCCCCTCAGGCAAGTGTGTGGCCACAGGTACACACAAAACTATGTTGTGGTTAATGCAAAGCTACAAAGTTTGGGGAAATATTAGTGTTCAAAATACCACAAAGCCCTAGATTCATACACATTTCAGGAAGTGGGAGAAGCTATGGACATGTCAACATTTCCAGTCAGTTCAGATTTGGGCTGAGAGTCTGAACATGGAGCTTTGCTAATGAGTTGCCTTTTTAAAAATGTAGATGGTGTTAGGGAGAGACACGACACACATAAAAATATTTTGAGAAATGCATCAAATGACAACCAAACTTAAGGAACACAGAGATTAGGGAAAGAGCTCACATGTCTGTTACAGAATGTGAATGGCTGTCCAGAGGGAACCCACCTTCCCATTCCCCCACCCCCTCACCTCCTGGGAAAGGGAACTACCTCCAGATCTACTAACCCAGAACAGGGCACTAGGCTGTCCCCAAATCCACTGCTGTATCAATGCAGCAGGCAAGGTTAGGGTGAATTTCAAGGCCTAGACAATGCTTTGCTTTCCACGTCTTCCCCCCACTTGGTACCCACTTGGCATCTCCAGACAGAAAACTCTCACCTGGGATCTTGTAGGCAGCTGGGTTACTGGCCATAACTTCCGATTTGGGCCTGCTTGGCTGCTTCTCCACCAGATCAGATATGGCGGCAGTGCTCTCTGTGGTGTCCAGAATACCCTGGGAAGCACTTCTTCTCATTTGTTGCTGTCTGCCTTCGGAGAACGGCATGGAGAATGGGGACAGTGAAGGAAGCTGGCTAAAACTACTTAGCTTTGTACTATCACACTTCTGTGCAGAAGAGGTTCTTCTCAGCTGGACTCCGAAATATCTTTCCCCCTTGATTTCATAGATGGTTATTTTTGAATGGCTGTCATGATCGCCACCACCAATCTCAAGAATTTCCTCGTTGGAGTGAGTGTCTCCAGAAGAAGTAGGTGATTTCAAGGGCGGGTTCCCTCTGATCTTAGACTTGTTGCCTGGGGTGAAGGTACTCTTTAGTAGCGCTTCAGAGCCTGAGCTGTGTTTCTTGGTTTTGTTAGGGTGGGACTCGCTGCCAGACTTGTTCTCACACATAGTTCCTTTAATAGAAGTGCTCAGAGACTTTGAACAGGTCGGTTCAGCATCCCCAGAAGCCGGGGAAGGTTTGCTGGAGTGCAAATATGTTTCAGCAATGCTCCACTTTCCACATTCTTCCACTGAGCCCACCGAGGGACTCTGGGCCTGCCACGCTGAGGCACTGGAGTGCTGGGCAAAGTGTCGGGAAGGCAGCACGTCTCTGGAAGCCTTCCTCTCTTCGCTGGAGCTTTCAGAACCTTGGGAGACTTCTCGCGTCTTCGAAGCACTGTCTCCCTTGGGGTCAGCGTTCTCCTGCCCCAAGACAATCTGGTGATCCATTTTAGGCCTCCACAAAGGCTTGGAACGATGACTTGAAGGCGGAGGATTCACACAAGTGCCTGTCTCGGTAGCAGGGCCCTCGGAAAAGATCTGCTGGGCCATAAACTTCACGAATGACTTGGATGGTTGTGATTTGACGATGGAATAACTGCTAAGCAGCGATTTCCCTATCTTAGCCCTGTTCAGACGCGAGGACATCTCTTGTACTTTGGACCTCACTGGAAACTGACCAGGCTCTTTCACAGGAAGCAGTTCCGCTGAACTGTGCTCCTCGGTGGCCGTGGCAGCTCTTACTGTGGCTTGGGAAAGCGGTCCCCAAGGCAGGTGCTCTGTGGTCACACCCCTTTCGGGGACCACACCCTCTGGTCCTGGTGGCTTCCCTAGCTGCTGAGAAGTCTGCTCCTTGTCAGCGCCCTGCAGCACAGGAGAGACTTGGGGCTCCAATCTCAGCCTTCCCCGTGGCTGCATGGAATCACGCCACTCTGCGGAAGCACTCCCTGAACCTGCAGAGATGGGTTGCTTCATTGCTGCTCTCCTCGGGATCGGAGACTTCTTGAGGGAAGGCGCTTCCGCCAAAATGTCCCACTCATTAATGTTTTGCCCGCTTGTGGACATGGACTGTGGCTGCACACCCACGCGCCCCTCAGCCTCAACATTCTCTGGACCAGCAGAGACTTGCTCGAGGGCAGGCTTCCCCCTAGGCTGGAGACTGTGTTTGAGAGGCAGCGAAGTGCCCCGTGGTGTGGAAACATTCACTGGGCCTAGCTTCCTGCGCAGCTCGAAGCTCTCCTTCACCATAGCACCTTCATTGACTTCGGGAGATGCCAGGGACTGCTCCACTGAAATGTCCGTCTCAGCCGGCAGTGCCTGTGACTCAGAGCGCACATCTTGTTGAGCTTGAGTGTCACTTACGGGCTCGGAGGGACGCCGAGAAGGACACGGCCCCACGGAGAGCTTCTCCTCACCGGAGAGCTTCCCGTCACCAGCAGTGCTCTCTGCATCTGAAGCATCTGGTGCACTTGCTGATTTCAACAGGGGCTGAGAACGCTGCCTGGCAGACAGCATCTCTGTTAAAGTAGCCTCTCTCACACTCTGGATATCTGCACCTGAAGACACTTGTTCCACTTTAGGTCTCAAAGGGCATTTCAAGGTCCTTCTTGGGGGTAGCAGCTCCATAGAAATGCCCCAGTCCATGACCGCACTCTTGGGATCTAAAGAATCTTTCTGCTCTGATTTCCGGCCCTCCCATAGCTTGAAAGCATCTCGGGCAGATACTGGCTCCCCAGAAATGCTTTCTTCTGCCACAGCGTTCGCTGATCTGGGGGAGCCCTGGTGCTGCGACACAGACTTCCAAGCAAAAATGTTCCACTCTTTGGGGGCGTTCTGGGACATCCGGGCGGCCTCTTCTTTATCTTTGGGCTTCATCGCGGCCTGCCCATGAGGTCCAACAGCGAGGTCTCCTTCCAAGCTGCTCCAGTCTGCAGCAATGTTGTGTTTCTCAATCTGACTGCTTGATCCTGTAGACGCTTTCTCAACATCAGACTCCTCTGAAGTCTGGGAAGGGTCCTGTGGAGCCGGCTGCTTCGCAGAGCCGCTCAATTTCACAGTGAACAGTTTGGATTTTGAGATGACCTTTGACTTATCTTCAGAACTGGACACAGGAGAGTAACTGGGAGAGCCCAGTTCCCCAGAATTACTCTTCTCCTCTAGCGCCTTCTCTAAATTTGAGATTTCTGTAGCTTTAGGATTCCCCAGACACTGGGAAGGTTGTACATAATTACTACTCTTCCTTGGAGCATTTGCTGAATCTGAGAGAATTTCCTTAGCTTCAGACTTCCCTGAGAGGTTAGACAGCCTCTCTGTCAAAAGGACTCCGCCTGCCTTACTGGGCCTGCTGGAAGCACTTGCTGAGGCAGTCTGGAGAATGCTTGCAGGAGGATCCTCTTTAAAGAGAGCTGAGACATCCTGGGATGACTCCACTTTGCATGGAGCATCCCGCAGAGCAAGACTGGAAGTTCCTTTGTCTTCTGACAAGATCTGAGAAGGCTCTACCATCGCCTGCACTCCCTTTCTCACTGAATGAATATTTTCTCCTGTGGTTGCAGGAGAGCTTTTCATCACTCTAGCTTGTGGCTTCTTGCCTGCAGAAGCTATATTTTCGTAGAATGATGATAGGTCACTCACCATTTTCTTTTCCACATCTGCAGATAGACACTGGGGCGCTGATATATTTTTTGCCTCAAAATTGACTTCAGCATTTTTCTTTCCCAGGTCAGCTTTATCTGAGAACAACTCCTGAGCAGCAGTGGTTTCCACCTGTGGAGTTGTTTTCTGCTCTGTGACTTTGGTCTCCAAGTATAGGTTCCAGAAGGAGTAATCCCTGGAAAGCTTATTGGTAGGTGAGCACTTGCCTCTATCACCCACATCAAATCCTTGGCTGGACTGTGTGACATTCTCACTCGTTCCTAAAGCATTTGATCCCATTCTTCTATACCTTCTTCCGTGTGCTGTTGATGTTGGATAGTTTAGGTTCTCAGAATTAGCAGTGTTTGAGGCCTGTTCTGTTATCTTATCAGAAACCTCTGTCTCACTGTTCTGTTTTTCGTTTGTGGGTCCTGTACCAAACAGAAATCAGAAAAGGACAAATTTGTGTGCTGTTGACTTCACAGAATAAAAACACTCTGTTGTGACATAGTGAGTGGCTACTTGTTACTGACTTCCCTACTGTAAAGGCACAGCTACTTAGAAGATAGGCACTTATTCACTATTCACCTGCTGCAGTTGGAAAATTGTAATCAAAAGGAGATTTTAGTTTTATGAACTAATCCCAGGGTTGGCTCATCACCATGTCATCAATTATCTGGTCCACCACTATGAGATACACTGAGAGGCCAAGTTTGATGAACTCTGAAGGAAGCTGGGGCAATGGTCAGAGAAATTTTGACTTCCTGATTAATGTTTCTAATTTCTGCTTAATATTTATCTGAGCTACTTAAGATAAGATTTCTTATTATGTGCACATATTTCTTTCTTTCTAGAAAGAAAGAGAGTTAGATTAGGGTCCCTTTTTCTTTTATTTTCTAGTATTAAAATGATGTGTTATATACCAAACAATTCTTTGAATATATGCAGAAAAATGTTCTTGAAATATCTGAGTAATTGCATCAGTCTACAGGCTTAGGTTAAACACGTGGTAGCAGTTATATCGATTGCTGCCCTTTCTCTCTGCTAATTTTTCTAAGGAACTTTGTTTGGTCCACAGTTGGACTGGGCCCTTGCTGCCTTTCCTTCCCATCAGTTGTATCCCTACCCCATTCAGTATTTTTATATCCAGCACAAATACTGAGAATAGCTGGTTGTGTTCCACATCACTCTCATTATGTGGAAATATCTGCTCCCGTGAGAACTGATTCAGTTCCAGCCTCTGTGTAAAAAGTTACTTTCAATGTCTGTGTAAAAACAGCAAGGAAATAATAAAAGAGGCAACTATTCACAAATAAATCTGAAAACTATAGATGAAGGGTTACTCAGTTAATCTTTTCTTTTTAGCAGGATGCTTTTGTTACTATTCATGGGGGAAATATATTCAGGGATTTCCTGTTGTTAAACTCACACAGGAAATCTGTGGCAAAACAATAAAGAATTATTGAACTTAATTTGTGGGATTGCAATTTTTCTTACTCAAAGATTGCTTGAAATTATCTTGCCATCAGCTGGGACCAACATCTGCCCATAGACACACACACACACATACACACACACAGGTAGGTTTTCAGTCAGGTGGTGTTTGTTTTGGGGGATTTGACAGTTGTTGGCTGTCAAGAACATCTGTCTACAGCTACTCAGGCCCTCTTTTCTCAGGGATATGGAAATTGAGCTCTCTGTTCACATAAGACCTTTTTTTTTTTTTTTTCCTACCAGAAAAGAAAGATAACTTTAACAAATTATTTTGGGGGCTGCTTCTGTCATCCCTGTCTGGTTCTGTTTTGAGGAAGAACATTGGAGTAGGAATTGCAAGGTATATTCATACCTGGATTCATTGAGGAAATCACCATGGACACCAGTATCAGAAAGGATTAAACACATTTAGAAACAAACCAAACTCCTCTTGGAGGTTTGAAATTCACATAGGTAAAGTAGCAATTATTACATAATCTTTTATCTAAATGCCTTAAGTTTCAATTGTATTAACATAGCAGTCTAGACAGGTGAATGTGAACATACTAGTATGCATCCTAAACGTAAAGTTCTCTGGGGATGAAGCGCAGCAGTCCTGAATAATCCCTGTCTCAAGTTCCTATCACATAGCACTGTGCAATAAAGCCTATAACATGTTTCTGTGGGAAAGATGAAAACATGCCAACCTTCATTGTCTTTTTTCACATTCCTCTGGTCAGCATCTTCCACTGCGGTCATGCTATTGTCTTCAGAAACCAGTGAAAAGCATGGCTCATCCTGCACTGGTATCACCTAAGACAAGGAAATAAACAGCTTCAAATGATTTCTACTCATTCTTTTTTTTTTGTAAGATTTATTTATTTCTATTGGAAAGTCAGATATACAGACAGGAGGAGAGACAGAGAGGAAGATCTTCCGTCCAATGGTTCACTCCCCCAAGTGGCCACAATGGCTGGAGCTGAGCCAATCTGATGCCAGCTCTTCCAGGTCTTCCATGTGGGTGCAGGGTCCCAAGGCTTTGGGCTGTCCTCAACTGCTTTCCCAGGCCACAAGCAGGGAGCTGGATGGGAAGCAGGGCTGCTGCGATTAGAACCGGTGCCCACATAGGATCCCGGCGCGTGCAAGGCAAGGACTTTAACCACTATGCTATCGCGCCAGGCCCCTATTCATTCTTGAATGTACACCAAGGAGTTGTGCTATATTGGTAAAAGTAAGTCCTTTGATGCAGGGTATTTAACAGCATCATTGAACATGAAAGTTATTTCCAATACCTCCATTAGGAGATGCCTAGAAACCTTCTTACTTATTGGAAGTGGTGATTTTAGACCTGAAATTCCTAATCTGTAAATGACAGTAGGCAATGATCTAAAACACTCCAGAAACTATTGAACTAAACTGGAGAGCCATAAATCTGGAAAGTGGGCTGTTGCACCTGACAACAGTCTTGTGCCCTTGGCAACACTGGATTTCTCAGATTTTCTGTTTTCTTTTTTAAAAGTGTATTTTATTTTAATTTAAAAGGCAGAGTTACAGAGAGAAGGGAGAGGGAGATAAAGTGTGTGTGTGTGTGTGAGAGAGAGAGAAATCTTCCACCAGCTGCATCATTTCCCAAAATGTCCAACAATGACTGGATTTCAGTGAATCTGAAGCTAGAAGTCAAGAAGGTTCTTCCAGATCACCCATGTGGGTTCAGGGGCCTAAGCACTTTTTACATCTTCTGCTGATTTCCCAAGCCATAAAGCATGGAGCTAGCTCACAAGTCAGGACACCATGGGATTCTGGCACCATATGCTGAAGCTTAGCCTGCTACTATGCCTCAACAGTAACCCAAAATTCTCAGATTTCATTCACCAGACCTGTGAGCCAATTCATTGTAGTGAAAATATGAACTCTATCTTTCCAACTCAAAAGAAGAAAACTGATAAGGGTTATGTTGGGGGTGGAGAGTCAAAAAGAAGTCCCAGCTGCTCCACTCCTGATCAAGCTCCCTGCTAATGAGCTTAGGAAAACAGTAAGAGATGGTCCAAATGCTTGGATGTCTTCACCCATGTGGGATATCAGGAAGAAACTTTTGGATCCTGGCTTCAAGCTGGCCCAGCTCCAACCGTTTAAGCCATTTGGGGAGTGAACCAGTACATAGAAAATCTCTTTCTGTTTGTCTCTCCTTTCTCTGTAACTGCCTTTCAAATAAAAGTAAATAAATCTTTTCCTAAAAATTAATTTTATTTCTTTGAAAAGGGGAGAGAGAGAGAGAGACAGAGAGAGAATATCTTCTAATCACTGGTTCATTCTCAAGTGGCTGCTGTGGCCCAAGCTAGGTTAGGCTGAAGCCAGGAACTCCATCTGAGTCTACTCATGTGTTGGGATGGGCCAAGTATATGGGCCATTTTCTGCTGCTTTCCTAAATGCATTACTAGGTACCTGTATCAGATTTAAAGCACCCAGGATTTGAACCAGCTTACCCTGCTGTGACAGAATGCCAGTCCCTGTAGCCATGTTTTTAACATAGGTGCTGTATCATGAACATGATTTAGCTGTGCTTGCTTTGGCAGCACATATACTAACACAGAACATGATTTAGCTCCTCAACTCACAAAGTATTATTGTTAACAGCTAATGCATTAATATTAATTGTTGTTAATTTAAGGGTGGAAGCTCGATTTGATTATGGTGTCTGAAGGTGGGGAATTTGGGAAGAGATTAGTTTGAATTAGGTTGCTAGGATGGAGTCCCATAACAGAATAATATTAAAAATGACTTTTTAAAAGAGAGGCATGCAAACATGGAGGATGTATGCGCTCCCGTGCTTTCATTGTAATCAGCCCTTCATACACCATTCCACTATTGCCAACCTGTAACCTCCTCAGGTGCTAAATTGATGTGGCTTCCTGATCTTGGACAGTGAACGTATAAAACTGTGAGCAAAAATAAACTTTTTTCCTACCAAAGAACATTATTTCAAAGTAACAAATATCTGGTAGAATATTATATTTTTTTGGAAGAAGCCATAGTTAGAGATAGGCTGCAAAGACAGGTATAGAAACGTGGTGAAAGATCATTCACCCAGACAAAGTTGGAGTTATGTCTAGTATGCAAAGATGATTATGCAAATCAATAATGTGATGCACCACATGTATTTTTCAACAAGTTGATGAATCAAAAGCAATATGATTATCTCAATACACGCAGAGAAAGAATTAAATAAAATACAACATCCTTTCATTATAAAAACCCTAAACAAGTTGGGTATAGAAAGACCTTTCCTCAACACAATCAAAGTATATGAAAAGCACATAACCAGTCTCATGTTGAATGAGGAAAACTTGGAGGCATTCCCATTAAGATCTGGAACCAGACAAGGATGTCCATTCTTACAACTGCTATTCAATACAGTTCTGTAAATTCTAAACAGAGCCATAAAGCATGCAAAATAAATCAAAGGAATACAAATTAGAATGCAAGAAGTCAAGCTATCTCTGCTTGTGCATGACATGATATTCTGTATAGAGGAATCAAAAGACTAATACTAAGAAACTATTGAGACTTTGGCAAGGTTTCAGAACAAAATCAATGAAAAAAAGTCAATAGCCTCCACATACACAAGCAACCCCATTACTGAGAAAGAACCTGTAAGATCAGTCCCATTCAGAATACCTGCAAGCATTTTAAAATAACCTGGAATAAATTTAATCAAAGATATGAAGAATGTCTACAATAAAAATTATAAACGTTAAAGAAAGGAATAGAAAGACACCAAAACACAGGAAAAAAAAGAACCTGTTATATCTATGGATTGGTAGAATTAGTATCATCAGAATGTCCATACTACTGATAGCAATTTACTGATTCAATGTAATTCCAAAAGATATCTACATTCTTCCCAAATCTTGTAAAAATGATAAAACTCATATGAAAACACAAGAGACCCCCAAGTAGCTAAAACAATCTTAAGCAAAACAAATCTGGAGGCATCAGAATACCAGACTTCAAGACGTACTACAAGGCAGCTGTAATCAGAACAGCCTGGCATTGGTACAAAAACAGATCTGAAGCTCAAGGGAACAAAATAGAAGCCCCAAAAATGAACCCACACAGTGACAGTCAACTAATTTCAGCTTTGACAAGCAAACCGAAATCAATTCAGGGTGAAAAAATAGTCTCTTCAACAAATGTTTCTGGGAAAATTAGATCTATATGTGCAGAAGACCCTTACTTTACACCTTTTTAAAAAGATTTACTCAGTTTTATTGGAAACTCAGATAAACAGAGAGGAGGAGATACAGAGAGGAATATCTTCCATCTAATGAGTCACTCCCCAAGCAGCCACAATGGTCAGAGCTGAGCTGATCCAAAGCCAGGAATTTCTTCCGGGTTTCCCACGTGGGTGCAGGGCCCCAAAGCATTGGGCCATCCTTGACTGCTTTCCCAGGCCACAAGCAGGGAGCTGGATGGGAAGTGGACTGCCAGGATTAGAACTGGCACCCATATGGGATCCAGGCACATTCAAGGCAAGGACTTTAGCTGCTGGACTACCACACTGGCCCCTATTTTACACTGTTTACAAAAATCAACTAACTAAATGGATTAAGGGTCTAGATCTATGACTGATAACATCAAATTACATGAGAAAAATATTGGGGACATGCTGCAAGACAAAGGCATAAGCAAAGGCTTTTTGGAAAAGACCCAAGAAGCACAGGTAATCAAAACAAAAATAAATGGAATCACATCAAATGAAGCATCTGCACTACAAAGGAAATTATCAACAAAGTGAAAAGGCACCCAATAAAATGGGAGAAAATATTTTCACAGTATACAACTGATAGGGGATTATTATCCAGGATCTATAAAAAAATTCAAGAAATTCAACCACAACAAAACAGTCTAGCCAAGAAATGAGCAAAGAACATGAACAGGCATAACTGAAAAGAAAAAGAAAAAGAAATTCAAAAGGCCAACACATATATGAAAAAATGCTCAGTTTCACAAAGTAATCGGAGAAATGCAAATTAAAACAATTAAATTTCACCTCACCCCAATTAGATTAGCTATAATCTGAAAATAAAATGGCAATAGATACTGGTGAGTATGTGGAGGACAGTTACCATATTCCATTGTTGGAGGAAATGTAAGCCAGTGAAACCATTAGGGAAGACAGTATGAAGATCCCCAAGATGTCTGAAAAGAGGCTTACCATATAATTCTGCCATCCCATTCCCAGGAATTTATCCAAAGTCAATCTATGTGTATTATCTGTATCCTCATACTTATAGCAACTCAATTCATGAAAACTAAAAAATAGAGTCCACCCAGATGCCCATCAACAGATGACTGGATGAAGAAAATGTGGTACATATATCCTATTGAGTGCTACTCAGTCAAAAAAAAAGAATGAAATTTTGTGTTTTGTAACTAAATTAATGTAATTGGAAACCAGTATGTTTAATGAAATAATTTAGTCCCCCCCAAACAAATATCATATTTTCCCTAATCTGTGACAAATACTTCATACAGTACAAAAAATGTAATTTGTAGGTATAAGAGTGGCATTCTTGGATTTGGTTATTGTATAAAACCTTTGTTTATACACTCAAGGAATAGTACATTTTTACTTGCTTACTTTTTTCTGTTCTTTGTTATTAATTTCTACTTGTTATTAGTAGTTATCATCGTCTAATGGAATGTTAAACATTTTGAAAAAATAAATATGTAGATTTTTTAAAAAGAATTGATAGTTGCTCTTTAAAAAAGAAAAGAAAGATTGATTAATTAGTATATTTGCCTAAGTATAGCTCTATCTGCTAGAAACTCACGTGTGAAGAACTGTGTGACAAATATGTGGAGGAGTTAAAAGCTGAGTTCTGAACGTTTGGAGTTGCTGCAAGGTTGCTTTCCAAATGAGTGTAACAGTGATATAATGTATAACTCAAAGATGTCATCAGCATAATGGAAAGAATCTTGATTGGGGCTAGAGTTGAAGCTCTTCCTCAAAAGGGCTAATGGAATTCTCAGAGGATAACCAATAAGAAGAGTTTATGCAAGCATAAGTCATTGCTTCTACCTTCTTCACTACCTTTTATATAAATTCCAATAGGCAGGACACCCCACCCAACAGATGGAAGCTTTCTTACTCCTCTGGGACGTGAAGCCCAGGACAATACCTTTCATTTTGCCATCTCCACTTAGAGTAGGAGTCTCATAAACCACACCAGTTCCACAAGGTCAGATTGTAAATGCTGGAACTCATCTCTTCCTACACAAGAGTTGACTCCAAGTCTTTTCAAGAACTCATAGTTACCTGGAAGTTCTTCTTTTGCTTCCGGGGATTCAAAGCCATCTTGTGTCGAGCAGCTGAAGTATCTAAGCAGCTCTGACTAGTCGCTAAAGTGGGAAAGTCACTGAAATTCTGAGTGTCCAAGGACTGTAAAACATCAGGTACAGATGATGACTCAGAGAAGTTCTGGAGAGAGCAGAAGAAAATAAACAGGTCAATTAAATGGTCCCAAGACTTGCAAATGCCTCTATTCAAAGAATTCTTAAAGAAGAAATGTTTCATGAATTACTGTAAAATTTTGCTACATTTCTGGACAATATCTTGCAAAAGGGAAACTCCACATCTGTGCAGGTTCCTTCTCTCATATTACAAGGATCTTAAAGCTCTAGGCTTTTGGAACTAGATGGAACCGTTTATGTGCCTACTAATTTCATGCGATCTGTCTGTCTGTGGGTTGACCACGTATGCTACCATTTTCTACTACAGATACCACACTGGCTCACTGTTCTGCAAGCATTTCAGGCAAACTCTCCCCTCAGGATCATTGCACTTGCCATTCCCACTGCTAGGCAGATTCTTCCCCCATGCCCATGTGAATAGCTCCTTCACTTCCTTTAGCTTTTAATTCAAAACTACCTTCTCAATGAGACCTTCCCTGGCCAAACTACTTAACATGTTTAGCCTTGACATTTAATAATCTCTCCATTGTTTTTATTCTTATCACTTTCATCAGCATCTAACATACTAGATGTTTCCTCTATTTATCTTCTTTATTATCCATATTCCACACTACGATATAAACTCCATGAGAAAAAGTTTTCATCTGTTTTATTTATCACTTTATCTCCAGCACACTGAATGGTGGGTACTAAATAAATGAGGTGTTTGTTCCATTGGTGAACTAATTATTTACAAGCTTTCACTAGAAATTGTCTTTCTGGCTTCAGAGCAATCTCCCTTATCTGCGTATCATTTTAATTGTTCCTTTTGAGTCCTGACTAGTAAATCTAAAAGGATAACAGGCAGATTGGCTTTGCACAAAATCTAATGTTTGATTACTAGACAGGAAGCAAACATTTATTTAATAAAGATTTTCCACTCAGTTGACCTCCCAAGCCTTAGAGTATAGACACTACAAATAAAAGCATTGTTTACTGTCATGAAACTAATTCCGTATTATAACAGGAAAGTCAGGCTCATAATAAAACTGCTGATTTGTGCATTGAGTGTGTGCAGCAGAGAACTTATCTATTCCCAATCACAGCCTAAGCTAAGAGTGCATCCAATTGAGTAGCAGCTACTTGTCCTGTGCATTAACTATTCCTGGAAGTTGATATAAACATAGACTCACAGCTGTCTTCAAACCCCAAGCTAAAATTAGAGGGAAAAAAGCCATCGAGTATCATCCCAGTGAGATTATGGAGCTCAAGCCCAGACATGAGATTCAAAACAGCCTCAAGAGGATCTCATTTGTTGGGTTTCGAGTATGCAGTGTGCAGTATATATACACTGTATGAATTAAATAAATTATACAGTGTTCTTGAACTCCAAGCAGAAATTAAAATACGGTCTGGGAACCTCCCAACATCAAAATCATCTGAAATGATTGTTGCAGAAGCACATTTTGGACCTAGCTGTAGGCGACTACCTAGGTTGTCTTGTACCTCAGCAAATGTTACATTACTGGGAGTATAGCTGGCAGGCATTCTGGGCCTGGGAAATACCAAATTTGTGTTAACAATACCAATGTGCCAACATAGTTGCTAATTCTTTTTTTCCCTTTTTTTTAAATATAAGAGGGAAACTGTAATTTTTTTTAATAGCTGAGTAGTATTCCATGGAATAAATGAACCATAGCTTTCTTATCCAGTCTTCTATTGATGGACATTTCAGTTGCTTCCAAGTTTTTGCAATTATTGATTGTGCTGCTATGAACATAGGGATACATGTTGGTTTCTTGTGAAACAGGTGTTTTGGATAAGGCCACAACACCTGTTTGTATGGACCAGAACTGGGGACAGGCCTGTCAGGGCCAGACCCTAGCACCCGTTGGCATGCATGAGAACCAGGATAAGGTGTGGGTCATAACCAGCTGCACTGGGCTGCAACATCTGCCAATGAGAGCTGAGACTGTGGGTGTGCCATGCCAGGCTGGTTGCAGTGCCCATAAGCATGCACAAGATCTGTGCCAGGAACAGGTCTTGTAGGAGAGCTCTTGAGACTACCCTGCTGGGATGTAGCTCTACTGGTGAGTGTGAGAGCTGGGGCTGTGAGTTGACCAGGCTAGGCAAGGCTACAGCACCCATCAGCATGCATGTTTGATGGGTCTAGAGGTAGGCCAAACTGGGCTGGGCTCTAGCACCTACTGGTGCTCATCAGTGCCAAAACAGGTGCAGGACAGGCCAGGCTTGGACACAGCACCCACTGGGTCACACAAGAGTTGAGTCTGGGAGTAGGCCAGCCTAGACTAGGCTGTAGCATCCATTAATGAGAGCCAGAATTGGTACAGCCAAGTTGGGCTAGGTGGCAACATCCACCAGTGAGTGCCAGGACTGTGGACCGGCCATGTCAGTCTGGGCAGCAGGACCCAATGGCACACATGAGATCTGAGGTTTGGAACAGCCCTGGTAGAGAAACTTAGGGAATTCTACTGCCAGGCACAGCTTTTGCTGATGAGCATGAGATTCAGGGCTGGAAGCAGGTTTGACCAGGCTGGGCTACAGCATCCAATAGTACATGTATGAGCTAGGCCTGGGGATGGGCTGGGAAGGGTCAGTCCATAGCACACACAAGCATGAGTGAGAGCCAGGACAGGATGCAGCCCAGGCCTGGATGGACCTCAACACTCACCAGTGCACATGAGGGCTGAGGGTTGGCCAGGCTGGGATAGACTACTGCACCAACCTGTAAGAGATGGGACTGGGGGTGGGCAGGTTAAGTCAGGCTGTAGTACATGCTGGCAAATGCCAAGACAGGGGCAGGCCATCTCAGACTGAGCCACAACATCTGCTGGCACACATAGGACCTGGGGTTGAAAGTAAGCCTGGTAGAAGAACTTCAGGGACTCCATTGCTGGACTGCTGTTTCCAATATTGAGTGTGAGAGATGGGATTAGTGTGGGGGCAGGCCAGGCTGAGTTAGGCTGCTGTGCCTGCTGACATGCATGAGAGCCCAAATGGGTGTGGGCCAACAAAACTGAGTCGTAGCACCAGCTGGCAAATACCACAAGTGGATGTGGTTTGGGCTGAGCTAAGCCACAGCACCCATGGGTGTACATGAGAGCTGGATGGAATACTGGCTGGGTCACACTAGCCTACAACAGAAGATGGCACATGTAAAAACTGCAGTTGAGGGTAGGTCTGGTGAGATCTATTGGGAGTCGCCCTGATTAGACCGTGGCACCTGCTAGTATGTATGAGGAACAGGTCTGTGGCAGGCAGGCTGGGCTGGGTTGGGTTGCAGCACCAGTTGGTTCATGTCAATCAATAGACCTTAGAAAGATTTTCTCAACCTTGTAGCAACAAAACCAATAACATCTCTGATCTACCAAAATCACTGAAGTAACACCCTCGGAACACTCTTCCCCACATCAGGGTCTCTAAGGCATCATCAAAGGACCATCCCCCATCTTCGGGTGTTGGTGTAGTTTGACAATAAGGAGTGGTCCCCTCCTCTCCTCCTCTGCAGACAATAAAAAAATACTGAAACATGTGTACCATCTACCTTCCTCCATACCTGACCCTTCTCACCCTAATCAGAGGCCCACATGGGCATGCATGCATAATAAAAATGAAATTTAAAAAGTACATTTTTCTTACCCAAGAAAAGCAATCAAATACCTTCCTGACAACTTACTAAAAGAAAAGTGAGTGGAGGAAATGCAGTACCTTTCTCAACTTCTTTTACCCCATCCTATCCAATCTACTTCTCCTTTAGTGAACTCTAAAAACCAACACACCCATTCTTGGTCCAATGATCATATTGTAAAGGAAGGCCGAGATATTTTCATTTTTTCTTCAATCTTTTCCAGGATGTTCAGAGAGGACAACTTCTGACAAACAGTCTTAAATAGGCTTTCTGCCTCAACATCTGAAAGGCGTGCCAGGTCTGGCACATGCTCACTAGGGCTCTTCCTGGGGAAGGCACTTGAACCGGGCCTTGGGCCAGAGGAAGAGATCCCTCAGCAGTGCCTGATGGAGGGCGGGACTCCTCTTTCCTGTTAAGCTGGAGTGAGGGATGCTCTTTGTGAAATGAAAACACACATTAGCACTCTTTTTCCTTCCATCAATTTTCCAGACCCAGCACAAAGTAGTCAGCCATACACCCTTTGGTTGTCTCTTTAACGACTCCTTTTTCTGTTGAATGAGACTAGGATTTTTCCCTTTCCCTTTAACTGTTAAGTCAGTACCTGTCAGAACTAGAAAACACTTCAGTGATCTTGGAACAAAGGAAATCACTGGTTATGTCATAAGAGCATTATCTGGTAGCTATCTTGGCCCAGGCTCCATCAAACATTGGTTCACTCTGAAATTGCTGTGGAGCAGTGACTCTGGGTGAGCTGTTTCGAGCTTTCAAATGTCTCCAAAAGCAGCAGCAATCCTTAGTTGGAAAGGTGGTTCTTGATGGGAAGTTTCAGCACTAAGAGGCACTGGCTCAGAGTATGAAAGCCATCAATACTGGCTGTTAACACTTTCACTCCCTGGGTGGGTTAAAGTGGCTCATGTACTCATTCCTGAGAGTTTCTGTGAAGCTTCTGCTCCAATTCAAGAGTTTGAATTGTCATGGGGGAGCATGGGTGAGGGGCTGGCGCTGTGGCCTAGTAGGCTAAGTCACCACCTGCTGCACCAGCATCCCATATGGCTGCTGGTTCAGTTCCTAGCTGTACCGCTTGTGATCCAGCTTCCTGCTTATGGCCTAGGAAAGCAGCAGAAGAGGGTACAAAGCCTTGCGCCCTTGCAATCAAGTGGCAAGTGGAAGATTCTCCTTCTCTTTCTCTCTCTCTCTCTCTCTCTATCTCTCTTTCTCTCTCTTTGTGTAATTTTGCCTTCCAAATAAAAGTCAATAAATATTGCTTGAAAGATTAAATAAAAAAGAAAGGAACTAAATTAAAATTAAAGGAAAACATATCAAAACTTATTGGGTGTAGAAAAAAATAGTTCTCAAAGAGAGTTATATATCTTTATGTCTTCAATATATTTATGGAAATTGTATGCTATGAAAACAAAAATTAGATACAAACATTAAAATTTTTCACATTAAAACAAACTTATCATTTAGTTCTACTTTTCGTGAACTTTTTGAAGTTACCCCTGTATATTGCTATGTCAAAGGAGATGAAACTTCTCCACCTCAAAGAACTAGAATTCCCCACCTCAAAGAACTAGAAACTAAAAAAGTAAGAACAAATAAATTCTAGACTAATAGAAAGAAGGACATAATAGAGACTATTTCTGCTAATAGCAGAAATGAATGAAATGTACATACAAAATTAATAGAGAAAATCCACAAACCCAGAAATTGTTCCTTTAAAAAGATCAGCAAAATTCACAAGATTTTTCAAATAGCTAAAATTAAAATGATTTTATAGAGTCCAAAGTTTTTTCTGAAATATTATTTTGCATTGCCTATAAGTGAAATGCTTATTATTTGATTTCTAGAATTGGATGGAAAATATGAACAATCATACAGAACAAAAGCTAAGAATGGCGTTTCTTCTTCCACAAACACTTCCTCTAGCATCAGGATGAAACAGGAGAAGAGAGAATTCCCATAAGATGGGATGAATACCTTAATCAGTGTCAAGGTCTTGTATGATGAAGCCTTCACTGGTGAACTGTCAATTGGATCACTGGCAATAGGGAGTTCTTTAAAGTCCTCAGAAAATATGTCAGGTTGGAAAAGCGGTGGGCTGATGCCTGCTTTCCGTGGGGGCACTGGTGGAGGCTATCAAAAGGCAGAATGAAAGGAAAAAGTTAAAACCTGTGGGCTTTCATCTGGTCATCAATGCTCTCTTGCTACTTAGTGGTTTAAGGACTTAGAACCCAAAGTGGGGGGAAAATAGGCCCAAGAAAGATTCTCCTGCCACCCAACTTTCACTTCTGGTACCCACTCCAAAAGCATACCAACAGCCTTGGGTTACTCTGGAGGTGTGCACTGCCAATCTCAATCACAGAAACTCCAAATAGTTTTAGCAAAACCAGAATCTTGGTGTTATCTCCCAATGGATGTTAACTTCAAATTGTACTTGACTGTGAGCTTTGTTTTTCATTTTGGCCATGTCTTCTGAAGTTCATTTCTTGGAGAACTGAACCTTTGGGTTGTATTCTAGGGATGGCATTGAAACTATAATTCTTGCTTCCATTATTTCAGGAATTGTTTGCACTGAATCTTGATTATTTTAATCATCATTTCAAGACTGACTTCCTGGGGTTTTGTTTGTTTGTTTTGTTTTGTTTTGTTTTTAGGAAGACTAAAGAATTAGTTCTGGCTTCCCAAGGAGTTCAAATTTGACCATTTCTTTTTTCTTGGTGGGCGGGGAGTTCAACAAACCAGTTGATTTCATTTGGAATATCGTGGTAAACTCAGCTTTGAGGCATTGATCCTTGCTATGACTCCTTCAATGCAGCTAGAATCCTTGATTTTATCTTTTAGAACTACTAGCTAAGTATCTACAAAGTATTGCACTCTATTCTATGAACTGGTCCTACAACAATGAACAAAACAAAATTTTGGCTGTCTTGTTACTTCAGTGCTTGTTTCTGCTGTAAAGTGTTTAAATCGAGACCAATACCATACAGAAATGGAAGCCAAAGAAAAGTGGCCACAATTAGCTCTTCCTGAAGGTTCTTGCCTCAGAACACTCCTGTTAGGAGTTTCCAATGCTCCCTTATTAGTACCAGGTCCCACTCAGGGATCTTGGGACGAGGCCAGCTCAACCATCCCTAATCGCAGCTCTAACAATGCAGCAATGGAAGCAAACTTCTACTGAGAGTTTACAGTGTGCAGGCAAGGAGTGCTTTCCATTGAGGTACCTCGCTGAAACCTCACAACAATCCTATGACATATTGTAGTATGATGGCTTCCATTTTATAGACAGGGAGGACAAAGTTTTAGAGATGATATACGTGACCCTAATTCTCCAGTGGCAGGCAGGCAGTACAGGCATTTGAAAAGCTGGCCCAGCTTGATTTACCTGTGTTCTTAACCACTGTACCCTCCTATCTTCAAGCTACAGGTTCAGGAAGAGGAAACTCATACTGAAGGTCAAGTTCAGAAGATGTAAAGGCAACAAATGGAACAGGTGATAAGCCTGCTTCTTTAAGGACAACATGCAACAAGCAGGGCCTGAGGGCAATAAGAACAGGACCTTTCTGTCTCACTTTCTGCTTAAAAAAATTTTACTTTTGTATTTGAAAGGCAGTTACAAAGAAAAGGAGAGAGAGAAAGTGGGAGTGGAAGGGAGGAGAGATTCCATTTAGTGGTTCATTTACCCAAATGGTCTCAACAGCTGCAACTGAGCTGATCTGATGCCAGGAGTCAGGAACCTCCTTGGAGTCAGGAGCTTACTCCAGGCCTCCCATGTGGATGCAGTCTCAAGGCTTTGGCTCTTCCTCCACTGCTTCCCAGGTCACAGCAGTGGGGTGCATGGGAAGTAGAGTAGCCAGGACACTAACCAGCACCCATATGGGATGCTGGCACTGCGGGTGGAGGCTTAACACACTAAGCCATAGTGCCAGCCACTCTCTTTCTTAAATAACTGAATTCAATTGTTTTAATAAAAGAAGAAGAAAGGTAGAATGAGAAAGAGAGGGAGAGGAAAATGCCAAATGCCTGCAATAGCACCCTTGCCTTAGTGCAATACTGGGAGCTGTCAGCTTGGTACTTACAGGGACTTGTCAACCTGGTGGGTAATGAATGATCCAGGTCTTATTCACACATTGTGTTGTCTTCGGTCCTGTTTCCCAGGGATCAGGCCAAAGTTGTGAAGTGCAGGCCCAAATCAAATATGTAAGGAAACTGACCGAAGGGCTACTATAGCTTTCATCACCTTCTTCAATGTGAAAATTAATGTCCCTGGAATTGTTTCCTTCAGTCTCTCTCTCTCTCTCTCTCTCTCTCTCTCTCTCTCTCTCTCACACACACACACACACACACACAGACACACATACACACACACATCTAAAAATGGAATGTCTCTGTTTTAAGAATCTGTTTCTGGGATTCTGAGAGAAGAAAAGAAGTCAGCAGGTTTCCTTTTTCCTAACATGAGCAGTAGCCATGTGGCGCCTCACTGTGCACATGAGTGTGGCCATAAAGCACATGAAAGCTGATACTAATGTTGAAAACTGAGGGCTGAAAAGCACAGAGCAACAATCCGCTGACCTAGGAGGCTGCGGTACAACCACGAGGTCAGCATCATTGACCACTGTCTTGCTGTGTTCTCTATCTTTCATGAATGATGTAGAATGTCCACACATCTGCAGAAAGCAGAGTGAGACATCTGGAGTCTTAGGCACACATGTCAGAGACAAGCCTCATTTGCCATTTGAGATCTTTTGATCCTGACAAACATTTGCTCTTTTTTGACTTTGGCTAATAATAGCCATTCCAACTGGAGTGAAATGATACCTCATTGTAGTTTCATTTGCATTTCCCTGATGGCCAAATGAAATTGTCATACAATGTTGGGGACAGTATGGGGATTCCTTAAAAAATTAAAAATTGAGGTACCATATGACTCAGCTATCCCAATTTCTGAGAATATATCCAAAGGAAATGAAGTCAGCATATCAAAGACACACCTGTACTCCCATGTTTATTGCAGTTCAATCCAAAGGCCTGATGTTAACCTAGATGCCTGTCAACTGATGACTGGGTAAAGAGAATGTGGCATATAAACATGACAGAATATTACTCAGCTATAAAAAAGAATGGAATCCTGGCATTTGCAACAAAAATTGGTGAACTGGATGATACTTAAAATACGACAGACATAGAAAGACAAATACTACGTGTTTTCTCTCATAAGTGTAAGTCAATAAAAATGTGTGTATATACAGTATAAAAATGTGTGGATGCCATGTTACGTGGTACTTGGATATTTTATAAATGTTAACACGGAATTATACCTCTCATATAACAGCACAGCCTTTTTCCCTCACTTTATAATCCTTGTCATGAATTTCCTACTAGTGTGATATTAATATCCTTGCTTTCAAGGAAGGTAATTGCTTATGTTACATAATGTTTCCATACGATGTGAATATGATCAAAATGTTGAAAATTTTTATTAAAATAGAAAAAGTCAGATCAATGGCTGCCAGGGGCCAAGACAGGAAGAGGGAACTGACTACAAACGGCCATGAGAGATATCTGAGGGGTTACGGCAGTTTCTTGTGTCATGACTGTAGTGGTGATTTCACACTGCAAGCATATATCAAAATCTCTCAGAATTTGAAAAGTGACCGATTAGATGGAATACAAATCATCTCTCAATAAAAACTGATATTTAAAATGTAAGGAACTGCATTAAAAATAATGATGAGGGCTGGTGCAGTGGCATAGTAGGCTAATCATTCTCCTGTAAGCACCATCATCAATGTGGGCACTGGTTCAAATCCCAGGTACTCCATTTCTGATCCAGCTCCCTGCTAATTGCCTGGAAAAGCAGCTGAGGATGGCCCAAGTTCCTGGGCCCTTGCATCCACATTGGAGACCCAGAAACAGCTCTTAGCTCCTGCTGTTAGATTAGCTCAGTTCTGGCTGTTGCAGCTGTTTCCAAAGTGAACCAGCAATTGGAATACCTCTTTCTATCTCTCTGTCTCTTCTACTTTCTCTCTCTAATTCTGCCTTTCAAATTAAAAAAATATTTAAAAATGATTAGTTCTCCCAGTGGGGAAGTGGCTTGTCTTTGTGTTGCCTTCCTATTGATACAGGCTCTTTGTGTACAGTGCTGCTGCTACAGGGTTTCTCCCAGGCAGTATATTGCGCTCCCCCAGAGACCTCGTCTATCAGAGCTCCAGGTGACGCAGCTGGAGCACCACAGAATTCCCATCAACTGAGAGCTTGCTGGAAGTAAGAGATAATCCTATGGACCGGCTACCTTGTATGGAGCTAAGGTACAGAGAAATCCAGACTGCTAAAAGAAGCTGAGCATCTTAGAGACAGGATGGTGGAAAGACCATGGCTTTAGACATCAATATATCTGGGTGAGACTTCCAAATGTGCAACTCACAACTTCAGTGGGTCTGAGTAATTTCCTTACCCTCTCTGAATCTTCATTTGAGTCCCACAAGCAACATCTCAAGACAAATCTTATTATATTTATTGCCGATTATAAAAAAGAAAAGCTCAGATAGGTGAGGCAATTAACTAAGGGTCACACAGCCAGTAACAGATAGAATGAGATTTCAAACACAGATTTGTCTGATTCCACTGCCCAGATTCTGACCAATTGCATTCTGTTACCTCAGCAGCCCTGGAGCTTTTCACCCAGATTCCAGGTCGAGAAACAGGTCCAAGGTCAGATCCAGACATAGCTCCCCATACGCTAGTGCCAGTTCTAGGGAGAGTTCTGTAAACATGAGATCTCTATGGAAGAGAAAGATAAAAGACTTTGGCAGCTGATTTGCCAGCACATAAACAATGGATGTCATTACCAAAATGATTATTCTTGAGATATGTTTAGAGAAGTGAATATGGTCATACTGACCAACACTGTGTGCCAGGGAATAGGTATGCATGATATCTATCTATCTATCTATCTATCTATCTACATATCTTATATAAACATATATATGTGTGTATATAAGTACAAATATGTACAGGAGAGAAAACATATCCATCTATACATATATACATGTATATCTTATTATTTAAGTATGTAGCTAGATATGTATTTTCTCATTTAATACCTACAATAGCTCTGTCTGGTGGAATCAGCTGCAAAGCAGGAGTGAATTCTGCTCTCCTTTTTGGTTCACAGAAGGGCAGGAGGAACAGAAGAGCAGTCTTCCAGCCAGGCATGTCAGTTTCGAGTACTCTTACCTGGAGAAGTGTCTCTCTCTGAGGCTCCAGGTGTGAGAGCATCTTACTTGCTGCCCTCTCAGAGTCTGGATCCAATAAGAAGATGCTGTCATGAGATATGGCTTTGTTGCCCATGCTGCTCTTGGCCCTGCCCAAGAAAGAAGACATCTTGTAAAAGCAATCCAGGAGTCGCAGAAACTAAAGACACATATATATTCATGACACAGCCTGTCACATAGTTCAATAGGAAGGTGGGGATGTCTATGTGCTGACACAGAAGGCTGACCATGAGAAATGATGTGAAAAATAGAAATAGCATGGCCCCAATGAACTTATACATGCATATATAACATCCACATATAGTTTATGTTCCAAGGATAATACAGAAGGATAGATATCAAATTGTTAGTGATAGGGCCCGGCGCGGTGGCGCAAGTGGTTAAAGGTCCTCGCCTTGCACGCCCGGGATCCCATATGGGCGCCGGTTCTAATCCCGGCAGCCCCGCTTCCCTTCCAGCTCCCTGCCTGTGGCCTGGGAAAGCAGTCGAGGACGGCCCAAAGCTTTGGGAACCTGCACCCGCGTGGGAGACCCGGAAGAGGCTCCTGGCTTCGGATCGGCATAGTATCGACCTGTTGCGTTCACTTGGGGAGTGAATCATCGGACGGAAGATCTTCCTCTCTGTCTCTCCTCTCTGTACATCCGCCTTTCCAATAAAAAAATAATAAAAATAAATCTTTTTAAAAAATTGTTAGTGATAGCTGCCTCTGAAGAATAGCACCAGAGATAGGAGGGAGAGCTGAATTTTCTACTTTATATACTTCTGTGTTTCAATGGGCATTATTTAAAACAAAGCAAAACAACAAAACAGTATTGAAGCAGCACAGGTGCATTCAGCTGGGTCACATGGCTCCCTGGGGTAGGGGAGCTCTTCGTGGGCCTTTGAGTTTTCCCTGGCCTGGAGGCTTTCTAACTGGCACAGGTCTGGACAGATGAGCAAAATGGCTCCTTGAGGAAAGGGAGGCTCAGGAGGCTTTTGGGTTCTCCCTGGCCTGGAAGCTTTTTGACCAGCATAGGAGGCCATGTGGCTTCCTGTTGGAGGGGTTGGGCGGCCCATGATCCAAAAAGCATTGGGTGAAGCCCTTTGGCTGCCCAGTGGCATGCTTGGGGTGGGGAAAGCTTGGGGGTTTGGATTTGCAAGGGCACAGGGAGATCACACAGGTAGTAGTGAGTGATGACCTGTGTTTATGCCCAGGTGAGGAATTATAGCTGAGGGACTTTTGTGGATAAGGCCACAGCATGTGCATATAACTAAGGGGCTGAGACCCAATGGCTTGTAGGGGTGAACAAAAGGGCCTTTAAAGGTCAGATTAAAGTGTAAGCACAAATGGGATACCCGAGCTGGGGTAGTTAACATTGACCAGCACCAAGCACCATCCAATTGCACACACTAAAGCCAAGGCTGGGGCCTACCAGTGAGAGTCAAAACAAGGGACTGGTGATGTTAGGATGGGCCATGGCAGAAGTGGGTCTGAAAGCAGAATCTGTGGGGGATATGTGGACTCACCCCTGTGGAACTGCAATCTCTGCTGGCATGCTCAAGAGCAGCAGATGGGAACAGGCCTGGCTGGGGAGCAAAGGGGATGCCCTAGCTGGGTTGGGGTTTCCACTGGTGAGGACGAGAGCAGGATTGGGGACAGCAGGCTGGGATGGACATGGCTATAGCCTCCCCTGGCACAGGTATGGACTGAGCAACAGATTGAGCTAGACTCCAGCACCCACTGGTACTTGTGAGAGCCAGGTTGGGTGTAGAACAGGCTGGTCTAGGTCTTGACTCCTACTGAACCACACAAAAGCTGTGCATGGGCATGGACCAGGTGTGGCTGGGCTGCAACACCTAACAGTAAGAACCAGAATGGGTGTGGGTCAGTTGAACAAGGACAAGAGGTGGACAAAGTCAACCTAGGCCAAGGACCCACTGGTGTGTGCAAGATCTGCCACAGGGAAGAGACCTGAGAGAGGAGCTTGGGAAACTCCTTCATCAGGATATAGTCCCTGCAGGTAAGCACAAGAATCAAGGCAAGGAACAGCCCAGACCATGCCAGGTTACAGTAGCTGCCGGCATACATGTGGATCAGGTCTGGGGACAGACCAGTCTGGGCCAGTTCATAACACCCACTGGCAGATCTAAGAACCAAGAAAAGGTGCAGCAGGAGCCAGATCAGGTCGCAAAACCAGCCAGCTCACATTAGGGCCAGGATAACCATCAGGCTGGACTCAATGGGGCTGCAGTACCCACCAGCAGGAACTGGAACAGGGGGCAGGCTAGACTGGGCCAGGCTGTGCAAAATGATTATGGATCCTGAGGTGAGGTGTGGTATGCCAGCCTGGGATCAGTGGGTGCCGGATTCATGAATCCCAAGGGTGGGAAATCTGGTGTGGCCTGGGTTGCCTGGACTGTGTCCTGGAGCCTGTATACTAGATGGGACTGGGTTTGTGAGCCCTGGGGGCTCATATAGGGGACTCATATAGCTTGGCCTGGGTCCTGGGGCCCACCTGTGTGGTGGGTGCTGGGTTCGTGAGCCCCGGGGATGGGGGATCTGGAGGAGCTTGGATGGCCTGGCCTGGGTCTCTTGGCCCACTTGCAACATGGGTGCCAGGTTCATGAGCATCAGGGGTGGGGGATCTGGTGGGATTTGTGTTGCTTGGCCCAGGTCCTTGGGCTCGTCTACAAGAGCATGTCCTCCTTAGTGAAAAAGGCGGAGTAGTAGACACAGACCCTGATGCAAATGGAGAATATGGTGGTTCATTTGGTACCATAGCAGAAGGATAACAGAACAATTGGACAACTACCTCAGCAAAGCTATGACAACAAAAAAATCTCAGTGAATGGAGATTCGAGGTTGACCATGTCAGCCAATGGACATTGGGAGGGCTGCATCATCCTTGGATCAGCAAAACTGACAGCATTTCAGAACTATTAAATCACTTGGGCAGAATCCTCAGAATATGCACACATCGGGACCCTGGTTTGATATCAGGTGATGGTTCCCCATCCCTGGGTACTGGGACATTTGGAAATGTCAGGTGTGGATTCCCGCTTTATTTCTCCCCTTCCCCCAGAAACAAAAAGAATAGCAAATTTAGAAACAATGAGTTCACCCACTTTTCCTTAATCCTTGATCCTTCTTACCCTGATCAGCCATGTAATCATTACAAAAATTAAAACAATTACATATAAAAAACAGTGTTACTGAGATCCAATCCCTACTGCTCTGTTTCTTTTTTAAAAAAAAAAATATTTATTTTATTTTTATTGGAAAGCCAGATATACAGAGATGAGGAGAGACAGAGAAGACGATCTTCTATCTGTTGATTCACTCCCCAAGTGGCTCCCAGGCCACAAACAAGAAACTGGAAGGGAAGTAGAGCAGCTAGGATATGAACCAGCACCAGTATGGGATCCCGGCAGTTGCAAAGTGAAGATTTAGCCTCTAGGCTACTGTACCGGGCCCAGAATGGCTGGCTTCTAGTCTCAGCTCCTGTACTTCTAATTTATTTCCTGCTAATGTGCATCCTGGAAGGCATCAGGTGATGGATCTAGTACTTGATTTTCTGTCATCCACATGGGTTGAATTATGAGCTCCTGCCTTTAGTCCAGCCCAGCCCTGACTGCTGACATTTGGAAAATGAATCAGAAGATGGAAGAACTCTCTTGCTCCTCCTCTCCTGCCACCTTAAATCACATGAAAATAAATAAATAAACCTTTCAAAATCTACTGGAATAGACAAATTCTGCTCATTTTCAGTATACACCACCAATATACAAAACTGTATTTCTACATGTTTGTGATAAAGAACCTGGAAGTACAATCAAGAAAATACTTTCAATTATACTAATATAAAAAGAACAAAATACTTAGGAACAAATTTAAGACAAGATTTATGAACAGTGTAATATAAAAGTTATATATTTGTTTAAATCACTGAAAAAAATTAAAGAAGGCCTAAATAAATGGAGGGCCATCCACAGTCATGAAAGACTTCATCTTGTCAAAGCAGCAATACTCCACAGATTTATGTAGAGACTTAATGCTACCTCTGGAAATTTCAGCTGCCATGTTCCATTGTACCCAGATAAGTTGATCCTAAGATTCACAGTGAAATAGAAGGGACTGTGACTAGCCACAACCATCTTGAAAATGAGACATTAACTTGGAGAACTCATACTATGGCCAGGATCCCCAGGGAGCACTCCCCTGACCCTTGAGGTAGGAAAAAAAATGGACTCAAGGCAAAAATCGTAGAGGTTTTTAAGCAGAGCCCTTCTGAGAAGAGAGGATGAAGGAGGAGGCTTTTTGGCAAATACCACAATGCAACCAGGTCAGCTAAAGAAATGCTGTTAGATCAGCAGCAGAGATTTGGGACATGCAGGTGTGACCTTATGTAAGGGTTGTGTGGGCAGTCCTATGGCATTAAGCTATTCAACCCAAGTTACAAACCTGAATATGCAGTAGGAAGCTTCAAGTAGTTTGCATTAGGGTGTATGAAGCAATGCCCTGTTTTGCTCAGGGTCCAGAATTTGAACAAAGAATTCTCTTCTGGGTCTGTCAGTGTGAAAACTGCTAAACTGTTAAAGAGCCTTGATGTGTTCCACCTGTCTGTCCAAGCATCCTACTACAAAGCTTCCTGATTTCAAAACTTACTACAAAGCTAAAGTAGTTAAGGTAGTGTAATGCTAACATAAATATACTCAAGTAGACAAACAGAACAAAGTTAAAAGACCAGAAACAGACCTATATAAATAACTGATGAGCAATAAAGGTGCCGAAACCACTCAGGGGAGAATAAATAGGCTTTCCAAACCAATGCTTCTGGGGCAGCTGTACATCCACCTGGGCAAGAGATTGGACCCTATCTTATGCCAAATATACAAAAATCAACTGGAAAATGGATTAAGCATTTAAAATATAAGGGACCAATCTTCAGACCTTGGATTTGCAATGGATTCTTAGCTATAACAACCCAAAATCAAGTCACAAAAAAATAGGTAAATGCATGTTAGCAAAATTAAAAATGCCTGTAATTCAAAGGCTACATCAAGAAAATAAAACCAATGCAAATAATAGGATAATACATTTACCATTATAGTATGATACAAGATTTGCTTTTGCATTTTAAAAAACTCTTTAAGAATATCTTTACATTTATAAAACAAAAATTGTACAGCTGTGCCAAGAGTTCTCAAATACCTCACACCAGCTTCCCCTACTGACATTTTATATTGGGATATTTGTCTCTATCCATAAACCACACTCAACTTGTCCTTTTTTTGCATTGAAATTCCCTCCAGGCCCCTAGTAGTTGACACTTTATGTCAGGGGCATTTGTCTTTCTGTGTTTCATTTCTTTCTTTCTTTCTTCTTCTTTTTTTTTTTTAGATGATGATAATAATATAGTTGATCAGAGTGGGACGGATCAAGGGTTAGGGAAAAGTGGGTGTGATCATCGTTTCCAAATTTTCTTTTTCTCCTTCCTGTCTCTGGGGTTGGGGTGGGGTAAGAGGAGAAGCCATACCCAGCTTCCCAACCACCCTAATACCCAGGGATGGAGAATGGCCACCCTATATTAACGCAGGGTCTCAAATGTGGCGCACACTTCGAGGGTTCTGCACAGATACTTTTGATAGTTCTGAAATGTTGTCAATCTTGCCAAACCAAGGATGAGCGAACCTTTTCAATGTCCATTGGCTGTGTGTCTGACTTATTTCACTTAACGTAATGTCATCTCACACATGTAAAGAACTCTTACTAATTCTTAAGACATTGAATAGCAAGACAATCCAACTTAAAGATGAGAAAAGGGACTAAATAGATATTTATCAAAACTATAGAAATGACCAGTTAGCATATATAAGGAACTCTTATGAATTCTTAAGAAATTCAATAAATAAAAAAGATGATCCAATTTAAAATGAAAAAAAGAAAGGTCTGAATAGCTATCATAAAAAGGGGGAAAGGTAGAAAAATGGCCAACAAGCACATGGGAACATTTCAACATTGCTTGCTAATGGGAAAATGTAATTAAAAACTGTGGTGAGATGCTATTTCACACCCACTAGAATGGCTGTAATAAAACATTCAGATAATAACAGGTTTGACGGAGTTTCAGAAAAATTGGAACCCCCATATGCTCCTCCTCCTGTGAATGTAAAATGGATCCCCTTCTAAGGTAGCTTGTGGGATAGCAAAACAGGCCAATGTCTTCTATTGTGTGTTAAAATCCTACTCACCTGGCCCCATTAAACTCTGCCACTACCCAGCTGGCCCTGGTAGTAAAAGCAACACACACTGCTTTATTAGAATAGCATTCACGCAAAAACTTAATATGAAGATCCATATAAACTCCTCCTGGACAGACGATATTGAAAATAAATGTATTCTTTAATTCTGTTTTCCCTGAATTTAATTATTTTCTTGAAGGCAGAGTTACGGAGATAGGGAGAGTTGAGAGAGAGAAAGATTCCACCCAGAGGATCACTTCCCGGCTATTCAAAGCCAGGAGCCAGGAGCTTCCTTTGGGTCTCACATGTGAGTATAGGGACCAAAGGACTTGGGCCATTCTCTGCTGCTTTCCTAGGCTCTAAGCAGGGAGCTGGATCTGAAGCAGAGCAGCCTGGACTCAAACTGGCAGCTACAGGAAACGCTGGTGCTGCAGGCAGCAGCTTTACCCACTATGCTACAGAGTGGATTCCTCCCTAAGTTTTTTCAAGTACCTTCATATAACTGAAGATTCTTCCAGACATCTCCATATGCGCACCAATGCCCATCATGCACACATATTTTCATATATATGACCCATTAACTCAACTCAGTCTCAGAATTACTGTAGCACCTACAGCTACCTGTCCTCTCCACTTTCTACAGAAAAACAGGGAACAGCTCGGGCTGTGAGTGGGCTTGAAAGCGTAACTTATTTCCCTACTGTGCATCAGCCAGACTGCAGCTGTGGAACTGGCTGTGCAGTGTAAGTCTTCCTTGATCAAAGGATTACACTGGCACTGGTTGTGCCTGAATTTGTTAGAAATTGCAATGCTTGTTCATAGAACATATCTGGTATTCACTGATCTGCTGCCTGGACGCAAAGACAGAAAAAGAAAATAACAAAATTCCAAGTACAACCTTGGCTTTAATTAAAGCAATAAAGTACATTATAGCACATATCTGTTAAGAAATCAAATGAAGAATGAGATTTACTTGTTGTGTCAGATACAGCTCATTATAGTCTTACAAATAGATACCGGTCCTATTTCATAAGTCAGGGGAAGGCTGGCTCTATGTCTAATTGAGGTTGATTGATTACCTGGGTGACAAAAGCTGAACCTCATCTATACCTCCCATGTGGTTCTCCCATGTTCTTCCCTTAGCATGGTAAGCAAAGGGTGTGATCCTCAAACCCCTTAGTCATATCCTTTTGATTAATTTATGCTGTATTAGCTTTCTCTGACTCTTTTAGGTGCACAATGCATGGGCAATCCATCAAAGTGAATGGACCATTTTGGACTGGAAGGAACAAATAAGATAGGACAATGGTAGCACAGTGGGAGACAGTCCTTATCAATGTGTAGAGACATTGCAGAGTAAACCTGAATACCCTTCCTTTACCCCAGCCCCTGATTCTTCATATGGCTGGTCCTAGTCTTACTTAAAGCATAAGGCAAGATCAGTATGATGGCTGAACTAACTAATCCTCTGCCCACAAGTGTCAGCATCCCATATGGGTGCCAGTTTATGTTCTGACTACTCCCTTTCTGGTTCAGCGCCCTGTTTGTAGCCTGGGGAGGCAGTGGAGTACAGCCCATGTCCTTGGGACCCTGTACCCACGTAAAAGACCTGGAGTAGACTCCTGGCTCCCTGGCTCCTGGCTCCTGGCTCCTGGCTCCTGGCTTTGGATTGGCTCAGCTCCAGCCATTGCAGCCACTTTGGGGTAAGCCAGCAGATGGAAGATCTTTCTGTGTCTCTCCTTTTCTCTCTGTAAATCTGCCTATCCAATAAAAATAAAGCTTTAAAAAATAAGACAACAGTCTATCAGGTAAGCCCCTTTGTCCAAAAACCATCTCCCCCCACAGTGAGGCCATCTGAAATTCTTCATGCTGGACATGCTCATTAAGGTGTTTTCAAAGCAACTGTGTATACTGCCAGGCCATTCTGTTACAGGAAGTCTGAAGGGAGCAGTTGGACATGGCAGCTAACTGTCTCATTATCACTGAACAAAGCTTTGGGAGAATGGCCAGCAGCCATGACAAGCTCTGTGAAGAGTCCAGATGAGTCTGGAGTTTAAGTCCAGGAGAATAGGCCCAAATGGAACTCGCTCAATTTGAGGGGCATCTAATTGAGCCAGGGACAGTCAGGAGTACTGGGTGTCAAGGTGAAAGAACCAAATAGGACATGGAAATTGGGGCAGCACAGGTGAAAATTAGAACAGAGAAAGCACCATTGGCTCAGAATGAATCTTCCTTCCCAGTCCTCCTATAGGTAATCATGGCAGTTACCCCAGTGTCTTGGGGTGAAGGGATGGAGAGAGGAAGGGAACTGAGTCATTTGCTTGCGTGTGTGTGTGTGTGTGTGTGTGTGTGTTTATAGTGTTACAGAGACATTTTAAACATACCCTCTCTTCAACCAGATGGCTTTACAATCTGAGGCTTCAGTTACTACAGAACTGGCTCCTCTTATCCATATTTGAACTTTGGGGGCTGTATATGGAAAGCAGACCACACCTCTGGAATGATGAAAGCCATCCTCACCCATATGAAACAGGCCTCCAGCTCTAGCAGGAGGTTCTAAAGCTCATGTTATTTTAGCTGTGATTAAAAGGGTTTCCCAGGCCCAGCATGATGGCTCAATGGCTAAATCCTCACCTTGCAAGTGCCAAAATCCCATATGGACACTGGTTCATGTCCCAGATGCTCTACTTCCTATCTAGCTCCCAGCTTATGGCCTAAGAGAGCAATATAAGATGACTCAAAGCCTTGGGGCCCAGCACCCACAAAGGAGATCCAAAAGAAGCCCCTGGCTGCTGACTTCAGGTCAGCTCAGCTCCAGCCATTTCAGCCATTTAGGAAGTGAAACAGAAGATAGATCTCTCTGTCTCTCCTTCTTTCCATATAAACCTGTCTTTCAAATAAAGTTAAATAAATCACTTTTAAAAAGTCGTTCCCTTGTGTATCTGTACCCTCTTCACTGTTGGAAGACAAGGTGTACATTTGCTACCCTCAAACCCACTGAGCCATGCATCCCAGACAATGTACATGTGTATACGCACAGCAAAGCTCCCAGAGAGAGCTGTACTGGTAATGGCTGCAAGCTGAGCCTCCACGGAAAGGAAGTGAAGAACCTCCAAGACCCGAGGCCCACTGGTGATCTGGCTGCCAAAGGAGGACCTAGGTCAGGTCTGAGCTTACCTGGGATGAATTTGTTCACCTTCCTGGATCTGTTCCAGAGAAGAGGTGCTCGTATTATTGGATGAGCTTGTTTTCAGCATCTTTGCTCCCTGGCCATCTTCGGAATCTTTTTTCTTCTTTTTGCCAAATAAATTTTTCAAGACTTTAAATTTGGATTTCTTCTTCCCTATAAGTGAAAAAATGGGAGTGAGTCAGAGTGTGGAGGAGAGGAAGAAGACCAGAGACGGTACAGCATCTTTCTAGACAGGAGCTGGGACCGTGGGGCCTACATGCCCTGCACAACTCAGTCCTTGCCCTCAGTGCCCACTGCACAATCCATTTGTTTTGTTCCCCTCCTAGGAACTTTAATCACATAGCACCCAAGTTGCTGGTGAAAGCAGAAGCCCAGGCCGAGTCTGAGCAGCCTCTCTTTAGGCCAAAGTGACATGGCTTTTCACTTGCCTTTCAAGTTCAGCTATTGAGACATACACCTCTTCTCTTGTCCTAAGAAATTCATTGGTGTGAACCTATTATCAAGTCACTGTAGTGCTTGGTATCCCCTGACCTCAACCCAGCAACTGGAGTTATTACATAAACGGGATTTCTGGCCTTGCATGTGTGAAAAGTACTTAGGAACCATTAGAAATCCAAGTGGTAGTCTATATTGCCCTGCCTGAATCAAGAAGGCTGCAGATCTAAAAGTTGAGTGTAGTTGGTCAGTGCAACCAGAGAACACTTCAGTGAGGAGACAGTTGAGCAAAGGAGATGGCTGCTAGTTGAAAGGAGGAAAAAGCTGCCTGGGCAAAGAAATTGACTCTGCAAAATGCAATATCAAAATCAGATATTAATAGGTTTTTCAAGGTGTGAGTTCGTGTGTGTGTGTGAGAGAGAGAGAGAGAGTGTGTGTGTGTGAATGTTTAACTCTTGCCAGTTTCCATGGACTAGCTACAGGGCTTCTGCTATCTGCACATGCAGATGAATGATAATGCTTTATCTATAACAATTGTCAGGCAGTAGTGAAGAATGTGAGAGATTTGCCATCTGCTGGCTCACTTCTCAAAGGACTATAGCAACCAAGTCTGGCTTAGCCAAGAGCAGGAGCTAGGAACTTCATCCTAGTTTCCCACATGAGTGGACAGCAGGGGCTCAAGCACTTGAGCCATCCCGCACTGCTTCCCAGGCACATTAACAGGAAGCTAGATCAGAAATAAAGCAGCTGGGACTTGAGCTAATGCACTGATATAGGATGCTGACATCACAAATGTGGCTTAACTGGCTGTGCTGTAGCACCAGTCCCGTACAAGTTGTTGAGAACAAAGAGAAGGCATTTCCTTACCTCTACCCTTCTTCAGAATGTATTATGTTGCCATCTTTTGTAGGCATCTTTTTAACTCAATTAAAAAGCAGTAAGCTAGTGGGTTTGATATTTGGGTCTGCCATTTATCCATTCATTCCTTCATTTTTTAAGAACTTTGGAGAGCCTAATCTCTTTCTCTGAGATGCAATACGAAACCATTGTAACACAGATGAAGAAGAGGCAAGCTTCGTTCCGAGGGATCCACCAGGCTCTGCATTCCCTGTCACCTCATCAGTGGAGTCAGGCATCCAGGCAGCCACAAAGAACCTCTCTCTCTCTCTCTCTCTCTGTGTGTGTGTGTGTGTGTGTGTGTGTGCACTTCTATATTAAGTCTTCTGCATTATACATTACTGGAGAAAATTTATCCGAAAGCAACACGATTAAAGACACAATTAGTTCTGTCTTTAAACTCAATCTTCACTTTGTGTCTTATGGTTCCCTGCTTTCATTGTGCATGTATGTCAATAAAGCTTATCATCAATTTTTAAATATTTATTTAGTTAGTTGAAAGAGTTACACAGAGAGAGAGGGAGAGACAGAGATCTTCTGTTTCATTCTCCAAATGGCTATCAATGAATGGCTGAAGCTAGGCCACTCCCAAAGCCAGGACTGGGAGCTTCTCCCAAGTCTCCCACATGGGTTCAGGAGCCTAGGCCTTGAGCCATCCTCTGCTGCTTTCCCAGGCCACAAGCATAGAGCTGGATGGAAAGTGAAGCAGCTGGGACACGAATTGGTGCCCATATGGGATGCCATTGTTGCAGGCAGTGGCTTTATCCACTATGCCACAACACCAGACCCAAGCTTATCATCATTTAAGGTCTTTTTTTGTGTTCCTTCTGTTATTCCATTCATGAGTACATATAACCCATAGATGGCACCACAACTTAGGTGATGAATACACATCTGAGTAGGTTTTGTGAAACAGAATTTCTATAATTGAATCTTACTTAACAGAAACCTGTGGTGGTATCTTGTTTTTCCCACACCCCTTCTTTTCTACTTCTCAAATTACAAATCCCCATGCTTGTTAAATTTTATTATTATCTACAGTGAAATTTAAGTTGGATTTGTCAGTCTGTTCTGTTCTAATTACTTTTCCTGAATAAGTAGAAATACTTTTTCCACCTTTGTTGGTAGAACCTGGTGACCATCTCCAAAGAAGATTGCAGGGTCTCAGATAATCTTGATTTTCAGATTTAGAGATGGCAGAGAAAAGGTTAGAGAACTAAAGAGTGAAAATTAATTAAGTCTAATGCTATTAGAAGTCTGTTATAAAGCTCGTTTCTTGTGGCTAGATTCTTTCCCCTCGGGATTAAGCACAGTAGACACATCCAGTTTTTGGTATCCAGGTTTTCCTTACCCTCATCACTGGGATCCAGCATTTCCAGATTGCCAGGAACTTCACTTACTGACTCAGCCATGATCAGCTCACTGGAATACAATGCAAAGTGAAAACAAAAGATCACTACTTGTAATCCAGGGCATCACACAATCATTCACTCACCCTCTCCTTTATCCTTCCCTTGCTTTTTTTTTTTTTTTTGGAAAGTTTATTTAAAAGGCAAGGAAACCACAGACAATACCTGGGCTGTGTTCAGGCCTGGAGTGGGCAGGGAGGGGAAAAATGGAGGAGACATATTTCTACTTTAATCTACTCTCTGGAGGGAGAGAAAGAGAAAGAAAGAGCTCCTCCCCTGTTGCCCAGTTTCTTATGAGCCTGAAAATAGGCGTGGTTACATGATACCACTCCCAAGTGCTGGGTGAGAAGGAGCACATCATGGCGGAAGGGTCATTTGATTGACAAGTAGGCATAGAGTATTACGTAGGATGGAGGAGATATGGCTTCCAATTCATGACTCTAAGCTAGCTACCTGCTTGTCCGATTTTATTTTCCTCTCAGAGACATTCGACCCTTATGTCTAAGGGTTGCTGAAGGATGTAAATTCATCTCATCTTCTGTAGTTACTTCCAGTTGTTTGAGGGTGTAGGCCTTGCATGTCACGGATTTGGAAATCTCTTCCTATCTCAGTTAATGGGTACATTTCATCAACCAATTTCAGTTGGTGCCAGTGGCTGTGTCCCCCACATAATCGTCACCACCCTGAGAAAACACTGCCCTTTTTTGTCTTTTGGAGAGACATCCGAGATCCTCCACTGGTTCACAGGAGCAGGCTGACTCATCATTGGCATGCACTGGGCACAGTCCTCCTCCCTGTGCAGCAGTCAGCATGGGAAGTGGCACAAGCACTTTGTGCTCCGATGCCAGGGCACACAAGCCCAGGCTCTCATACCCCAGATCCTGTCGCATCTGAGAACAACTGGACATGAAAGCTCAGGTTTCTTAGCCATGCCGAAGGCCATCAGTGCCGCCCCCTCAGGCCACTGGCCTAGCAATATGTTACAGGTGTAGCCTGCCTTAGGACCTTGGGGCATGGTGTCATGCCCCAGGCCTGCCAAAGACTATCAATGGGTGCTGCCCCCAGGACATTGACTTTAGACCCCTGGCCTAGCACAGTGGCATCTGCAGGTGTGGCCTACCCAGGATCCATGAGGCCCCTGACCTGCTTTCTCCCAGACCGACATGCTGGTGTGCCATGGGTGCCACCTGCCTAGGATCCATAGGCTTCTGACCTGCCTGTTTCTTCCATTACATTTTTAAATCATTCAGGAAGATATGCAAATGCAAATGAAATTCCCGTGAGGGTTAATTATACCTCTTTCAAAAAGGTGATACGAATTATCCAGAACACAAAAATACATAGACACAGGGAATATTTTGCTTGGGGTCAGCAGAATGGGTGGGGGTGGGCATGTTGCAGTTTTTGGTAAGTTCCTATCAATCCTCTACCATTAAGAAAACTTCTCTCCCATTGGGGAGATAACTATCCCTGAATTTTGGGAAAACCAATGGAAAAGGAGCTAGGCTGTTGTCTAAAACACCAGGTCACGGTAAGCTAATACTACGTTTGTCAGGGGTAGCAGAAAGGGCAAAGACTAGCCACTAAAGAGAAAAATGTTGGAAACAAAAGGACAACAAAGAGGATACCTTGGCCACACCTGAAATCCTAAGCACTATCAAGAACATTCACTATAACTTTAGGGTTTGAAAGTCTCTCCAGCACACTGAATTCAAAAGGCCCCCGAGGACACCACAACCATGAGCCACTGGGCCGGCACTTTTCTCCTCGCCTAAACAAACCACCAACTATAACAAAATCCATCTACCTCCCCTTGGCTTCAAATCTTTTTTCTTGTAGCCCTTCATTTCTCTGATATCTCTGCATCTCTTTAAAGCAAAAATCAAAAAAGTTTTCTTTACTTACTCTGTTTATGCCTTCTCCCTTATTCTCTTCAGCTCTCTCCAGTCAGGCTTCCAAACCAGACTGCTTCCAAACCTCAGGAGAAACTGCTCTTATTACCCCGACCCCTCCCCTCTGCACAAGGCAGTCAAATCGAATTTGCCAGTAGCATCTGACACAGTTGAACACTCCCTCTTTTTTGACTAATTTTATCACTTGACTTTCAGAACACCATATTCCTCAAATTTTCCTCCTACCTTATTGGATGTTTCCTCTTAATCTTAGCTGGGTCTTTTACTTGTCCCTCATTTAGCAATATTGTAGCACCACAGCTTCTGTCCTTGGCCCTCTTCTTTAGCTTCAATCGTTTTCTAGACAAGTGCCATTACATACAACCATTAACATTAACATGTACACAAATGCAAACCATATATATTGCTGCAAGTTTTCTATTAGCTACATTTCTAAAAATTAAACGTAAAATGGAGGAATTACTTTTTAAAAAGATTTATTTGTGAGGAATTACTTTTTCTTGGTAGAGGCATTTCTTTATTAAGATTTAAATTTTTTGAATTTTCTTTTTACGATTATTTACATAGTTGAGAGGGATGTACATCCATGCGGGCCTCTGATTAGGTGTAGAGGTTCAGGTACAGAGGAAGATGGATGGGACAAATGTTTCAATTTTTTTTTCTCCTGTGTCCACAGGAAAGGAGGGAGAGATGGCTGTGCCTTGCTGTCAACTACAACACCACCCTTGAGACCTCGATGTGGGGAAGAGTGTTCCTGAGGATATTACTTGAGTGGTTTTGACAGTTTTAAAAAGTTTTTGGTTTCATTGCTCCAGGATTGAGAAGTTCTTTCTAAGGTCTTTTGGCTGACAAAGTCCACCTTAGTACATCCACAGACTCAGGAACATGCTGCAAAGCTTGGCCAGGAGAAGTGTTCAACCTGCTCTGCTTTCCATCCTCTGACAAGGCAGTTGACGCCCCCTGCTGGCCCAGGATGAGCTGATTGTGATATCCTCCATGTGCATCTGGACATACTGCAGCCCACCACACAGGCATCAGCAACTGAAGAGGTACAGTCCCAATACGTGCACTCCAAGGCTGTACCACATAATGAAATTGCTTTTAGTAATATATCTTCATTTAACCTAATGCAGCCAAGATGTTATTATAAAATGTAATCACTGTCACATGTTTAATTGTTATATGCTTTATTTTTATTAAAATTTATTTATTTTGAAAGTCGGAGTTACACAAAGAGAAGGAAAGACAGAGATAGCACCTCCATCTGCTGGTTCATTCCCCCAGATGGCTACACTGGCCAGCTCTTGGCTTGGCCAAAGCCAGGCCCCTGGAGCATCATCTGGGTCTCCATGTGGGTACAAGACGCCAAACACTTGAGCCATCTTCTGTTGCTTTTTCTAAGCCATTAGCAGGGAGCGAGATCAGAAATAGAGCTGCCAGGACACAAATTGGCACCCAATATTGGGTGCTGCAACCCACTATACTACAATGACAGTCTCTAACATATTCGTTTTTCACATTAAGTGGACAGATCAGTTGCATCGGCTTCCCTTGCTTAAAGTCCCTCAGTGGCTTTCCTTTAAACTCAGATTGAAATCCCAGCCCTTTATTATAAATTTTATATGATATGGCATAATTGCATGCCCCTCTGACTACCAACTCTGGCACTCTCTTACCTGTTCCCTGTGTTCCATTCTCACTGTCCTTCATGGGAATCTAAAGGGACCAAACTCCTTTCATTTGCAAGCTGTCTGCATCTGCTAGTCCTTTTGCCAAGAGGGATCTTCCCCTCCACTCACTACACAGCTGGCTCCTCTGGATTAGATGTGTCATGGGTTGTGAATGGCAGACTTTCAGTAAACATTTACTCAATAAATACAGAAATTAATAAGAAGAGAAGGAGTAATGTAAGAGCTACACTTGTAATCAGAAATAGAAGTTGAGATGTGCTGTAAGAGGCAGAGGACGACTCAGGCTTGGGAGAGAAACACTCATAGTTCCCACCTTAGCAGGACTTGTCTTCCCTTCTAGCAGGTAGGCCCCAGCCCTGGGTTATTCATCAGTACAGAACCAAGTTCTTGTAGGCCCCTATAGTTTTCCCTGCATAGAAGCCCATTCCCAGGCAACTCAGCCATGTGAATCTGAAGGTAGAGCCTTGCTCACTTGGCTAGTCCTTGAACTTCACAAAGGAGCCTTCTCTTCTGGTTTAGCTACCACCAACAGAACTTTCCTTTTACCTTCAGACTCAGCTAATTCAACAGAGCTTTGCTATCCAAGGATCTTCTCATACATCAGGGATGGAAGTCATTATTTTTTCTGCTCAGGCCACTTGGATACTGGTAACATAATTAGTGGGCCACATAGAATTATCAACTTAAAAACAATAGATGTAGGGGCCAGCAAAATGACTCAACAGGCTAATCCTCAACCTTCAAGCATTGATATCCCATATGGGCATCAGTTTATGTCTTGGCTGTTCCACTTCCCATCCAGCTCCCTGTTTATGGACTGGAAAAACAGTGAAGGACAACCCAAGCCCTTAGGATCCAGGGTTCCTGCAGGAGACAGGGAAGCTCCTGGATGCTGGCTTTGGGATCAGCTCAGCACTAGTTGTTGTGGCCATTTGGGGAGTGAACCAACAGATGAAGATCTGCGTCTCTCCTTCTCTGTAAATCTGCCTTTCAAAAACTAATAAATACAGAGCCCCGCCCCCTCCAAACACACACACGTTAGAATAGATAGGCAGAGAACAAAAAGGAAAGCCTGATCAGCATAAACTTATACACACTTCACTAGGGAGGACACGAAGATCAAGTACTCCTCAGCAAGGTATTGAGAATTTCTCTGCACACCACCCCTCCTAAACTGTCTCGCACCTCAATTGTTGAAATGTCATCAAAGTAGTCACAGAATGTGGTTAAGAACTTGCATTTAATCTTAATATATTGCTTACTCAATACTATGTCAATTAGTTCCACAAAATTGTATATTGTTGCTGATGTTATGTTGGGGCTTGTAATTGACTGGGATTTTACATTGTTGGCTCTAACATTGGATCAGAGAGGGTCTCCCCAAGAAGCTGTTGAACTT